TCAATACAAGCCAGTCGATGCCATAGGGAAGAGGCCACCAAATTATTAATAATCAGAGTACGTCCTCTATATGATAAACTCTTTACAATCCATTTCCATTTCATTAGACGACCTTTAATTTTTCAACTGATCCCTCCCAGTTTTTTGAACAATCGTTTCATCTCCTAAAAACACTCCTCAATAACTTAAACCATCTCTTCTCCAACTTAACCCACTTGGGAGTATTGGTACCCCTCTTTCCCACTTTTCTACTAACACTGCTTCGCTTTTACCCCAATTAATTCTTGCTGAAGATATAGTTTCAAAATCTCTCAATGTTTTTAATAATAAATCCACGTCATTTTGTTTATTAAGTATAATGACAACATCATCAGCATATGCTGACAAACACAAAGTGCTGTTACAGGCTTGTAAAGATAACCCTTCTAAAACTCTTCTCAATTTATTTAAAAGTGGTTCTATTGCCAAAGTGTAAAGTATTCCTGACAGAGAACACCCCTGTCTTACCCCCCGACACACTCTAAGAGGAGCACATAAGCCACCGTTAACTTTCAGTAGACTCTCAATGTCAGTGTACAGAATTTTAATATAACCAATAAAATCAGAACTAAAACCAAATGCTTGCAAAGTTTTCCACAAATAATCGTGTTCTACACGATCAAACGCCTTCTCTTGATCTAAGGAAATCAAACCCATGTTGACTCCCAATATTTTTGAAACATCAAATAAATCTCTTTGAATTGATCTTCCAGGTACACAATAAGACTGACCAGAATGGATTACCTCCTCCAAAACTCTTCCTAGTCTAGTAGCTAAAACTTTTTGAGAGCAATTTATAGTCATAGCACAATAAAGATACAGGTCGCCAGTTTTTTTATGTCTCTTACATCACCTTTTTTTGGCAAAAGAGTAAGGACTGCTCTTCTACAGCTCAGCGGCAGAAGTCCTTCGACTACACTGTCACTGAGAACTGCCAGCAGGTCCCCCCTATCACAGCCCAAAAGGCTTTATAGAACTCAACTGGGATTCCATCTATCCCAGGAGCCTTACCATTCTCCATACTCTGGAGAGCTTTGTGCAGTTCTCCCAGGCTTATAGCTCTCTTGAGTTCTGCATTGGAGTCTTCAGAGACCTTTGGTAGCCCTTCATAAAAACACTGCTCAACTACCCGATCTTCTCTGTGCTCACAACTATAAAGCTTTTCATAAAAACCTTTTGCTCTTTTCCGAATTTCAATAGGGTCTGATTCAAGAGAACTGGTCTCAGAAAATGAAGAATGTATAAAGTGTTTCTGACCGTTCTTTTTTTCTAGACTAAAGAAAAATTTGGACGGTACATCCATCTGGTCTATATCTTTAAAACGTGATCGAACTAGCGCCGCTCGTGCCTTCACTTTTTGAATATCAGACCAAACAGATTTCTTTAAAAAAAAGGGATTCAATATGTGTTTGATTTCCACTTGACTGTGCCGCTTCTTGAAATTTAAGAATTTCATCTTCTAATACTTTTATGGATTTGATTATATCTTTTGTGACATTGTGAGTGTACTGTTGACATAGTTGTTTGGTTTGTATTTTACCAAACTCTTGTAACTCTTGTTTACCAAACTCTTACAACACTTTTGTAAGGACTGAAAATTATCTTTTTCCTTCCTAAAATTTTCCCAAAAAATGTGAATGTTTCTCTAAAATGTGCATCACTTAATAAATTTGTGTTAAAGTGCCAGTAAGCACTTTTCGGCTTGACAAAGTGTAAAGTTACTGTACATATAACAAGACTATGATCTGAAAAACCAACTGGGATTGTGAAACAATTTTTAAAAGTACTAAGATGGTGTTTAATCAATAGAATCTATCCAGTCGTGCTAATGACAACCTGTTATCACGAGCATGCGCCCATGTGTACTTCTTTACATTCCCATTTACACAGCAAAAATCAGCCTTTAAACTCAAAAGAAATAACGATTTGAGACTTATCGTGATAATTATCAATATCAAAAGATATGAAACTTTTTATCATGATAACATTTTGGCCGTATCGTCCAGCCCTAGATTCACCTGATATAAATGAAAACATCTTGGTGTTTGCAGATTTCCGAACAGACCGAGAGCAGAGTCTGCAGGATCCAGCTGTCTGTCTACGAAGAGTGACCAGTCCAATGATAATCCTCCAGACTTCAGTAAAGAACCTCGACCCCCAGACACAAAGTAAGAGACTGACTCATTTATTTTTTTGAGAGAGATGGAGAGAGAGAGAGAGATGGATAGAGAGAGAGGGATGGAGAGAGAGAGAGATGGATAGAGAGAGAGGGATGGATAGAGAGAGAGGGATGGAGAGAGAGAGAGGGATGGAGAGAGAGAGGGATGGAGAGAGGGATGGAGAGAGGGATGGAGAGAGAGAGAGGGATGGAGAGAGAGAGAGGGATGGAGAGAGAGGGATGGAGAGAGAGGGAGGGAGAGAGAGAGAGAGGGATGGAGAGAGAGGGATGGAGAGAGAGGGATGGAGAGAGAGAGAGAGGGATGGAGAGAGAGGGATGGAGAGAGAGAGAGAGGGATGGAGAGAGAGAGAGAGGGATGGAGAGGGAGAGAGAGAGAGAGAGGGATGATAGAGAGAGAGAGAGGGATGATAGAGAGAGAGAGAGGGATGATAGAGAGAGAAGAGGGATGATAATGCAGTATAAAAAGAAACTTTTTTTTTATTGTTATAAATAGTACTTTGAACAAAAGTACAAAAAAACATGTTAAAGTATAAATGGATAAAAGTACAGAAAACATTTTACAAATGTCTGCTTTGTTATAAAGTGTGGAGTACTATTATTAATGAACATTGAATTGAATGGTGTATGTATTGTGGGGGCAAGCAAAACAGAAACCATTAAAAAATACCAAGATACTATTACTACTACTAAAAATAATAATAATCAGTGCTGTAAGTGAAGTTTAAGAATATTTATAAGTAGTGAATTAGAGAGAAATAAGAGGACCATTCGCTAGAACTGTATCAGCCGATAATATCTGCAAAATGATACAGTAAGTTGGTCGGGCTGTAGTACCAGACGCTGATGTGACAAAGTGCCCGTATGTGACACCCTGGGAATGAGAACAGGAAACGAAATTGCTGAACCCTGGGATGAAGAGGTGATATACTGCAGATTAGTAGGAGGAGTCACAGGTGGAACGCCACTGCTGCTGTTTTTTTCTTAATGATGCTGTTTTGACCAACAATAGTACACTGTGTCAGTTAAGTCTGTGTGAGGGTTCAGGGCTTAAGGTTTAGGGGGGGGGGTTGAAATTGGGCCTACAACAGGGAAAACGTGAGGGGGGAAAAGGCAGAATGACGGTAAGGAACCTCGTTTACATCTGTCAATGCCATGTTTTGTTTTTTGGTGATTTTGTGTTTGTATAACATCACTGGTCCAAAGAGTTTTCCCTTCAACTACGTACTTAAGAAAAATATTGTTTTAATGATATTAGATTAAAACCACTTCTCTTTCTTAGAATATTTGGATTGTATGTATGTCTTCATTTGATAGTTGACAGTAGCAGAGGACCGTCAGACCCGCTGATCTGAGGTGGACGCCCCATATTGAATGGCTGCCGGCCTAAATACCATTCAGAGTTTGTTCCTGTCTGAGAAAGTGTTTCTACCAGGGCTGAACGATAAAATCAATTTGCAATATTATCACGACTAGTGCTGTGCAACGATTAAACATTGAAATCGCGATTAATCCCATTATTATACGCAAAACTGAATAATGAATTTTAAAGTACTGTATTGCACACTTTTACTTTAAATGTACTGCTATAGACACAAAAGTGCAATAACGTGCTTTGTAAACACTTTAAACAAATAAGGTGCTTTTTACCAGCAGTATTCCCTTTACACAGTAAGAATAAAATATTTCTTGTAAATCTCAATTTAAACATTAACGTAATCAAATCAAATATGAAACCAAAGCTATTTGCCACTGCCTGTTACTTTTTATCCAGAGTCCAGAGCCACGATCAGAACATCATAACAGGCTCCTTCTGAGCAGCAGAAGGTTTTCAGATATCAGCAGGAACATTTTTCTTTTATCAGGGAGCAGCATAATACAGATAAACATAAATGAAGTGGTCGAGCACAAGGTGTAGGACAAGCGGGCGCGTTCCCGTGAAACTGTTGCAGTTGTGCTCGCCTCACGCACACGCCCGCCCGCTGCCGAAGTTGAATTGTCTTGAACTTTTTGTGCGCGAGGCGGAGCACAGATCATTGGAAGAGAGACTGATCCTCGCTGTTTGTGAGTTTCCAGAATCTATTACTGTTTACTAAATAGGACATCAACAGGAGGGAGTTCACACGGCAGAGCATCCCCTCCAAACTAGATGAAGGCCTATCAGGTAAAGTTATGTAGCCTATAATTTTAACTTCAGTTAAATAAGCTGTAGCACACAGAAGCCGTTGCCATGGTTACTCTCCATAGAGCGCCTGCCGTTTACGCGCAGACCGCTTGTCTCTGTCTGATCACCGGCCCTCCCGCGGTGATCAGACAGAGACAAGATAAGAACGTTCCTCAGACCGACATCTTCTCTAATAACTACTAATCAACATGCAGTGTGTAACTATCCACTTAGATTTGATCGTGTGTCTTGCTTTTAGTTTCCCCCACGCTGCATCCAGCGTAGTCTGCTGAAGCCTCCCTCCACTGCTTGTTTGTGTGGCTGATTTGCAGGCTGATCAACAACCCTAATCATGATATGATACAAGATTTTCTAATTGCAAAGGCTGCCATTACACTGTGGTCACATGACGCACAAGGGTCAAACAGTCTGCAGAGGAAGCATCAACATTGCACGCTACGCTGCACCGTGTCTTGTTGTACCAAACTGAATTCAACCAGAAAAGTAAAGACCTTTTTACTGTTCTGTGACCATCTGAGCTTCTACATAATCTACAAATGTCTTCACAGAGAGAGGAAGAGGAGTCGTGTTTCTGTGGAGGAGCAGCCGTCCTGCTGTGCTTTGTGTCAGGACGTCCTGAAGGATCCAGTCTCTACCAGCTGTGGACACTGGTTCTGCAGACAGTGCATCACCTCATACTGGGACCAGTCTGCTTCATCAGGACACTCCTCCTGTCCCCAGTGTGGAGAAAGATCCAGAAGTAAGACTGAACATCTGTCTGCTGATGTCGTCATGTCTGAAAACACTACGTGTTGTTTTAATACATTTGTTGAGTCATAACAGCGCAGCCATTAAATATCATTACATTTAAAGTCCAACTGAAATTTCACTGCATGTTTTTCCTGCTCCAGCAGACAGATCAGCTCTGTATCACTTGTTCTGTGTTCTACTTTGAGAAGAATCTGAACCAAAAGACATTAATTTGTTTATGATAGCGCCACCTGTCCTTGCAATAACCAATCACAATGCTGTTTGATCGCCGTCTGCATAGATGGAGAACTATTAAACTCAGCGTAAAGCAACAACTTCACTGTTCTGTCACAGACAGACAGCAGCCTGAGACACAACAAGAGCCACAGACTTTAAACGGCAGCCCACATTAGCTTTCCTGCTGACGTCTCCTTCTCTAACTTACAAACACACGTCTCGTCCTGCAGATCGACTTGTTGAACAAGCGTCCAAACAAACATCCACTGATCACTGCTAACATCAGTTTTCAGGCTGCAGCAGATAATTAGTTCATCAGTCTCAGCACATTAAACAGCTTAAAAACTCAACCTGCTAATATCAGCACTGGTCAGTCTAGATGCTGAACGTGGTCTTCTCACTTCACTACCTCCGCTAACAAAACACGGTCTGCCCAGTTTTCAGGTTTTACTACAACTCTACCTGTGATTCCAGGTGGACTTTTCTTTGTTTTGTCTCACACTTGTTTCTCCTCTTTAGTGAGTGGTGGTCTGCAGGAGGTTTTAGATGAACATAAGATCAGTCTGAGGAGGAGATGTGAACGTGTGACTGAAGGAAGTGATGAAACAGGAAGTGGAACCCTCCTCAACAGGATCTACACTGAGCTCTACATCACAGAGGGACAGAGTGAAGAGGTTAATACCCAGCATGAGGTGAGGCAGCTTGAGACCGCTTCCAAGAAGAAGACCCTCCATGACACTGCAATCAGGTGCCAGGACATCTTTAAAGCCTTACCTGGCCAACAGAGAGCCATCAGAGTGGTTCTGACCAACGGCGTCGCTGGCGTTGGAAAAACCTTCTCAGTGCAGAAGTTCACTCTGGACTGGGCAGAGGGCTCGGAAAACCAAGATGTCGGTCTGCTGGTTCTGCTCTCGTTCAGGGAGCTGAACTTGATCAAAGATGAGCGGCACAGTCTCCTCACGCTGCTCCATGTTTTCCATCCAACATTACAGAAGGTCCCAGCAGAGAAGCTCGTCGTCTGGAAACTGTTGTTCATCTTTGACGGCCTGGATGAAAGCAGACTTTCATTGGATTTCCACCACAGTGAGGTTGTGTCTGATGTCACACAGAAGTCATCAGTCAACCTGCTGCTGACAAACCTCATCAAGGGGAATCTGCTTCCCTCGGCTCTCGTCTGGATAACTTCCCGACCTGCGGCGGCCAATCAGATCCCTCCTTCGTGTGTCGGCAGGTTAACAGAAGTACGAGGCTTCACTGACGCCCAGAAGGAGGAGTACTTCAGGAGGAGAGTCAGTGATGAAGAGCTGTCCAGCAGAATCATCTCGCACATCAAGTCCTCCAGGAGCCTCCACATCATGTGTCAGATCCCAGTCTTCTGCTGGATCACTGCTACAGTTCTGGAGCACATGTTGACTACAGAGCAGAGAGGAGAGCTGCCCAAGACCCTGACTGACCTGTACTCACACTTCCTGCTGGTTCAGATAAAGAGGAAGAAGCAGAAGTACGATGAGGGACATGAGACGAGTCCACAGGAGCTGACGGAGGCTGACAGGGAGGTTCTTCTGAAGCTGGGGAGGCTGGCGTTTGAACAGCTGGAGAAAGGAAACATCATGTTCTACCAAGAAGACCTGGAGCAGTGTGGTCTTGATGTCACAGAGGCCTCGGTGTACTCAGGAGTTTGTACAGAGATCTTCAAAAGAGAGAGTGTGATCTTCCAGAAAACAGTCTACTGCTTTGTTCATCTGAGTGTTCAGGAGTTTCTGGCTGCAGTCTACATGTTCCACTGTCACACCAACAGGAACCCAGGGAGACAGAAGGACTTCCTGAGGAAATTCAACAGTTACCTGCCCCTGGATTACATCCTGAGGAAATTCAACAGTTACCTGCCCCTGGATTACATCCTGAGGAAATTCAACAGTTACCTGCCCCTGGATTACATCCTGAGGAAATTCAACAGTTACCTGCCCCTGGATTACATCCTGAGGAAATTCAACAGTTACCTGCCCCTGGATGACTTCCTGAGTAGAGTCATGGACAAATCCCTTGAAAGTAAAAATGGCCACCTGGACCTGTTTGCTCGCTTCCTTCATGGCCTCTCTCTGGAGTCCAATCAGAGACTCTTAGGAGGCCTGCTGGGTCAGACAGACAACAGTCCGGAAATCATCCAGAGAGCCATCAACAACCTGAAGGAGATGAACAGTGATGAGATCTCTCCTGACAGAAGCATCAACATCTTCCACTGTCTGACGGAGATGAACGACCACTCAGTACATCAGGAGATCCAAGAGTTCCTGAAGTCAGAGAACAGATCAGAGAAGAAACTCTCTGAGATCCACTGCTCAGCTCTGGCCTACATGCTGCAGATGTCAGAGGAGGTTCTGGATGAGTTGGACCTGAAGAAGTACAACACATCAGAGGAGGGACGAAAGAGACTGATCCCAGCTGTGAGGAACTGCAGAAAGGCTCGGTAAGTCCTGATGTGATTATCAACATTATAAAGCACCAGAAAGCTGCTGTTCACACCTGGAGCTACTGTAGTAAAGATCCACAGTTTATTGTTCACCTTCTAGTTGTCTTCCTTTTAAGTAATTGGGGCGTATTCCAAATACAGCAAATTAACTTCAGGGCTTAAGAGGATTTACACTAAACATTTTCACAAACATAATTTTATCACAGCACTATGTGTCTGCACTACGTTTTTAAAGTGTGTCTCTTGATTCTTAAGATATATACAGCCACACATACATGCAGTTTTTGCTGCTGTACAGTGTTGTATCATTTACTATATAAACAATATGGAAGAGGCTTTGTTAGTTATTCATTGAATTACAGAGTAGCTGTGGGGTCTTAAGAGTATTAAAATTTTAAATTTCATATTCCAAAAATAAGGCCTTAAAAGTATTAAATTTTGTTTACCAAGGTGTTAAATCTTTTCTTGTCCTTTTGTAGGATTAAATAAATGCCGTAACGTCATAAATAAATATTTTTTGTGTGTGTGACTTTACTATTTACTCCATTTGATGTGACTGATGTTATACGGCAGTACAGGTAACGCACAACAAGCGGAGCAGCGTGCGAGTCAGTCTCACTGTGGCGAGGGCTGATGGAACAGCGGAGCTGGAAGACCCGCATCAGGTTACTGATCAGTGAATGTTACAACAGCAACGGAGAGACAGTTGTGTGTGAGACGAGGACGGTGTCTGTGTGTCGGAGTTGCGCCACGTTATGTGAATGGAAACATCCAACATGCTAACGCACATTAAACTTACATCATCGTAGATGCGCCGATCACCTGGATGAGGAAAAAACAAACAAACAAACTGGAGCCCAATTCCTTGTCCCCGCTGCTTTCAAGCCAATACTATATTTCAGAACAGAATGAATAATCACTGAAGCAATTGGCATTTTATATAACATTAAATTACCTTATCTAGCAAAGGTGTAACTAATTATCAATCAATCAATCAATCAAACTTTATTTCTAAAGCACATTTAAAACAACCAGGTTGACCAAAGTGCTGTAGATTGACGTGAAACAATAAATAGACAAAATACAACACCAGACAGGGTTGGCACCGTGGTGCAGTGGTTAGCACTGTCCCCTGCGTGGGTTCTCTCTGGCTGCTCCGGCTTCCTCCCACCATCCAAAGACATGCGGACTAGATTGATTGGTTGACCCGTCTTGTGCCCGATGTCAGCTGGGATTGGCTCCAGCCCCCCTGCGACCCTGTACGCAGGATAAGCGGTTAACGATGGATGGATGGATGGACAACACCAGACAAATACAACATACTGTTCTTATGCCAGGTTAAAAGCCAAGGAATAAAAATGTGTTTTAAGTCGCGATTTAAAAACCGGAAGGCTTGGTGCCAGTCAGACATGGAGAGGCAATTCATTCCACAGTCTCGGGGCTGCAACTGAGAAAGCTTGATTCCCCCTGCTCTTGAGCCGTGTTTTAGGGACAACAAGAAGAGACTGGTTTGCAGACTTAATGACCTTGAAGGAACATGTGGCTTCAACAGATAATAATAATAATCTTTATTTGTTGAGCACTTTTCAAAAAACAAGTTACAAAGTGCTTTAACAAGTGTAAAGACAATAATACCCAAGAGACAATAATACAAAAAACAATACAAGATAAAAGCAAGAAAACATAAGATAAATATAAAATAAGTAAAATAGAATAAAATAAAAGGGATAAAATAAAGTTAAATAAGATCGGGAAAGGCTCTCCTATAAAAGTATGTTTTAAGAAGGGACTTCTTAAAGAAGGGAAGAGTTCACTGACTCAGCCGACCTGATTTCCTCGGGCAGGCTGTTCCAGAGCCTCGGGGCCCTGACAGCAAACGCTCTGTCCCCTTTAGTTTTCAGTCGAGACTCTGGAACAGACAGCAGACCTCTGAGTTTTTAGTGCGAGAAATATTATATTCATTTCATAGGTGTCATTTACACTGAAAGCTGGGGACATGTCTTCATCACTTTTTTAAAAAGCATTTATTAAATCTGTTCTGAAAAATGGCTTGCAAACAGAACAGATGAAAATGCTTTGAGAAAGGTTTGTTTGCACAATAATTAAACATGCAGTGCAATGTAAATATAGAAGAAACAAATGTGTATTGTCCAAAAAAAATGCTAAAAAACAAACTGCTGATTACTGCATTATATTCTGTTTGAATTGTCACCTGAATTTTATGTTTCACTATATAAATAAAGAGAATTCTACCATAAATTGGTGCAGAAAATGTCTCCAGAATGCAGGAAGTGTTTAAAATGTTCAACTTTTCAACACAAAGTGACGTCCTTGATTCATTTTATGTTAACAGAGTACAAAAACACCCCAGAAAGCTGTAGTGTATGAAATATTAATGTATTATAATAAAATGTTTTATTAAATTCAGGTAACTTTGTAAATAATAATTTTCTGGGGCTTAAAATTCATACAGATTTCCATTATATGGCAGTAAAGTTGGCATTAAATTTCATCCTAGGTGGTCTTAAAAAGGTCTTAAAAAGTCTTAAATTTAACTTGGAGAATCCTGGGGGTATAACCCTGAATGAACGTTTATTACTGAAAGCAGATCTGACCAGCTGCCTGTGCTGTTTGTCATTTTAACTGGCGTTAAAGTGCCGGTCTGTTCTGCTACACTGTGTGCACTGATCTTTGCTAACGTGACCAGAGAAAGAAAGAACAGCTTCATTACAGACAGAGAGTCACACAGCAAACTTTTAGTCAAGCTCTTGTTACTATCATATCATGAGGACATGGAAATATTTTGCTGAAGCTTTTTGTAAAATAAATACAGACTGTTGTTAAGCATAAGCTAACATAAAATATAAGTCATTGCTCAGATTTGGAGAGTGAGTTAGCGAGAAAGCTGGAAGAGAGCCACCTCTGTTACTGATTTATATCTGTGCCCTGAAAGCTCGAAGAGGAAAATGTAAGTAATATGGTGGGAAATTATTACAGTAGGAAATAACTGTGTGTGACGTGTGCACTGCACTTATTTGTGCAGCTGACTTCATCTGGTATTAACAAAGAACATAATTTATGTAGACATAGTGTAGCCTATGCGCCGGGACAAACTGAACAATGTTTTAAACAAAGAAAGAAAAAAACAACTTAATTCTACCTTCTTGTAAATTCAGAATGAAATGTAACACATTAAGAATTTGTAATAGACAGCTTTTCACAAAGTCCAAAAAGGACACACTCCAGCCTACAGAGACCTTCTGCCGGATCAAGGCTGAATTTTTTAAATGTGTCTAAATCAAAATGTGTAGCCATAAAAATATGACGTATTAAGTTTACACAACATTAATTTGGCAGATATTTACATGTATTTTGTTGTTATACATGTTCACAGGCTTTCTGGCTGTCGACTCTCAGAGACTCATTATGAAGTTGTGGCCTCAGCTCTGAAGTCCAACCCTTCCCATCTGAGAGAGCTGGACCTGATTCAGCAGGATTCAGGAGTGGAGCTCCTGTGTGCTGGACTGGGGAGTCCAAACTGTAGACTGGAGACTCTGAGGTCGGTTCACTGACTCTGTTTGGTCTTGTACATCTTACAGCTACCAAATTTAAATCCATAACTGAAGTTTCAAATTTTGTTTGGTTCATAAAACAGTTGGTTTCACTTTAACTTAAAGTTTAGTTTATAATAAAAATGGACTAACACTGTGGGAACCCCTGCTTCCTTTCAGAACATGATAGATAGGTACTGTATTACATTTAGGATTAGGAGAACATAATCTCACTTTGCTCCAGAGATGACAGTGGTGATTAATTATTTATTTGATATTGAATGTTTTGGAATTTGATTAAAAAATAAGAGGAAACAGAAGACTGAATGTAACCAAAGTATTTTTTAATCGAAAATATCTGATCTAATAATCATTACAGAATTATCTGAGATTAGCAGCATGTTATTAATCTGTGTTGACATGAGTAGGTGTATGAATGATGAATGTTTTGGTGACCTGGATGATGTCTGTAGAAGGCTGACATTATGATGATCCACAAAAACACAATGACAAAGTCCCTCTACTCATTTTAGAGTTATTAATTAACTAATTAATATTAAATGAAAAAAAATCTGCATGAATTTTTCTTTATTCAGATTGTGGAGCTTGTCAGAGATCAGCTGTGCTTCTCTGGCCTCAGCTCTGAAGTCCAACCCCTCCCATCTGAGAGAGCTGGACCTGAGTAACAACGAGCTGCAGGATTCAGGAGTGAAGCTTATGTCTGATTTTCTTGGGAGTCCACACTGTAAACTGGAGACTCTGAGGTCAGACACCATTTTTTCTTCTGTCTTGAGATTAATATGATGTGGCAGGCCGCCCCAATAAAAATGAATGTGTGGGAAACACTGAGTTTTATAGAAGACATGTTTAACCATTAATGCACTATGAATCTGTTCAATATACGTTTGCAACCTCATAAAATGGGATAAATTTCATTGTCAGCCAAATGAGGCCATATAAAACGTAGTGGGAGTTATCATGTGCAGTGCGTGATAGGACCATCGACTGTATGATAACAGCTGATACTCGCACATTAGTTACTGTCATGGGTAAGTAATACTGCCAGTACAGGGTACTAAACTTTACATTGTAGTGATGTTAACACAGCATTTCGTTGGCGAACACTCAGAATCCGCCGTTCAGTTTCCGGATGCCACACCCCCATTCTCTGTTTGATATAGAACGTTAACCAAAAACGGCAGTTAAAACGGGCTGGAGGGGGGCTTTAAACCACCTGAGCACCAACGCCACCGTTACCGGGGGTCAGCACGCGCAAAATGCAAATGGGAAATTCATGTCTGAAACTAGTATTGCATCACCCTATCCATGTTACACACCTCTGTGAAGCTAGGAGTCTCAGCTAGAAGCTCAAACCATTTTTATCCACACCAAACACCCATCAAACACCAAGCATCTAAATAAGTACATAAATCTCTCTGTGATCACTGTACATGGCTGCAGTTATAAGCATCCAGGCATGTCTAATCACAACATACCATCATGTCCAACCTCTCAAACCAAAGCTAATCTCCCCCTGAGATCAGCTATAAAGCTCACATCACTCAAATCACCAACATTACAGATTAATTAGCTGGATAAAAATAACAACAAACGAGCCGATATACATATACAATCACAACCGCTGACTTACTTTTGCTGCTTTTGCCTTTTCCAGTCCAAAAATCAGCTGATTTGTTACAAAAAATATCTCGGCCGCCATCTTGATTATTGCACAATACCTGGGAGCTGTGTGCCTGCCTTCTCTCACCCTTTTCTACAGAGAGGAGGTGTCTCGCTTTGGTACACCTGGTCTTTTTCACGGTCTGGTTGCTGACTCGTAGCAGCTACATGCAGGGTATCAAATGAAAGCCCCCCCCAATCACTGTGGGATGTTGCTTTCTCATGCTACACGCCTGTAAAACATGGGAGTGCTTTTGGTCATAGGAATGTTGATCAATATTCACTATTTTTATCAATATTTCAATGTTTTGGAAGTTTTGTTATTTGGAACGTGGTTGTATGGACAGAAATAGTGTTTTAAAGATAACTCCCAATAAAAGTCAACATTTAAACAGCAAATAATGCCAAAATATGGACATTAGCCTGGTATTGTCTTAAAATATTGTATGATAACTGTTGTATTTTAGTTGCATTCCAGGTGTATTAGATTATAATACAACTGAATATCTTCTATCTTATGATGGTGTATTGCATTAAAATATAGCTTTTTTTTACCAGGTGAGGATGAAAATATCATATTTTTATTTACTACATCTCCATTTAGTCTGTAATGGTAAAATAAATATGTTAATTTACAATGATTTATATTCCTTAGTTTCTGACCTTTCAAGGGAGACCAGAATTATGCATCTAGATCAAATGGTTAAGGAGTTATTCTTGATTCATTTGGGGTATGTTATTTTAGGCGTTTTTTGTCCTGGAAAACAGTGGCCTTTTCCAACTGGTTTTAAACACTAAATGATTTCAAGCAGAAAAACTTGCTTCTAAAGTTACATCATTTATTCTTTATTCAGATTGAGGGACTGCAGTTTGTCAGAGATCAGCTGTGCTTCTCTGGCCTCAGCTCTGAAGTCCAACCCCTCCCATCTGAGAGAGCTGGACCTGACTGGAAACGAGCTGCAGGATTCAGGAGTGAAGCTGCTGTCTGGTTTTCTGGAGAGTCCACACTGCAGACTGGAGACTCTGAGGTCAGACACCATTTTTTCCTCTGTACTGAGATTTATATGATGTGAAAGTTGTGGTAAACTGCAGACGTGAGGCTGATATTATACTGATCCACACTGAGTATCTTAATGCTAAAGTCTATTTTCTTCTTCAGCGGTTTAGTCCATTGACTGTGGCAGAGCAATGTTGAGCTCCACATTTAAAACCTTAATATAACAAGAAACTCCTACACTGGATAATTCACTCTGAAGCTCTGAAACAGTTTTTCACCTTAAAATGTCCTTTATGTTTGTTTTAATGAGACTAAAGCCAGACTGAGTGAGATATTCAAACCAAACACACCATGCTTCTTAAATGGCATCACCATCACATGAAATGAAAATGTTACAGATTTCATGTGAATCACTTGTTGACTTTTCCCCAAAGTTCATCTTGACATATTTGGCATCTTTGGGATCTTGAGTGGAATCTTAAATCAGTTTCTGTGGGTTTTTATTTGTGTTTGGCTGCATAACATGAGTGTATAGATGGAGCCACTGGTGGAGCTGCAGAGTTGAAAGGTGAAGTCACTACATCTTTATTGAAGTAGCAGCACATTCTCATTAATATTAATGAGAGCTCTTTTTACCTTTTTGTGTTTTACAGTTTGAACCTGCATCCTGTTGGGTTCAGGTGTTTGGAGTTTCTGTTTTCTAAACTTCTACATTCTAAAGCTGCTTCATCTCTGAACAGATTATTAAACACTGAATGATTTCAAACATAAAAACTTGCTTCTATAGTTAAATCATTTATTCTTTATTCAGATTGGGGGACTGCAGTTTGTCAGAGATCAGCTGTGCTTCTCTGGCCTCAGCTCTGAAGTCCAACCCCTCCCATCTGAGAGAGCTGGAGCTGACTGGAAACAAGCTGCAGGATTCAGGAGTGAAGCTGTCTGGTTTTCTGGAGAGTCCACACTGCAGACTGGAGACTCTGAGGTCAGACACCATTTTTTCTGCTGTACTGAGATTTATATGATGTGAAAGTTGTGGTAAACTGCAGACGTGAGGCTGATATTATACTGATCCACACTGAGTATCTTAATGCTAAAGTCTATTTTCTTCTTCAGCGGTTTAGTCCATTGACTGTGGCAGAGCAATGTTGAGCTCCACATTTAAAACTTTTAATATAACAAGAAAATCCTACACTGGATAATTCACTCTGAAGCTCTGAAACAGTTTTTCACCTTAAAATGTCCTTTATGTTGTTTTAATGAGACTAAAGCCAGACTGAGTGAGATATTCAAACCAAACACACCATGCTTCTTAAATGGCATCACCATCACATGAAATGAAAATGTTACAGATTTCATGTGAATCACTTGTTGACTTTTCCCCAAAGTTCATCTTGACATATTTGGCATCTTTGGGATCTTGAGTGGAATCTTAAATCAGTTTCTGTGGGTTTTTATTTGTGTTTGGCTGCATAACATGAGTGTATAGATGGAGCCACTGGTGGAGCTGCAGAGTTGAAAGGTGAAGTCACTACATCTTTATTGAAGTAGCAGCACGTTCTTATTAATATTAATGAGAGCTCTTTTTACCTTTTTGTGTTTTACAGTTTGAACCTGCATCCTGTTGGGTTCAGGTGTTTGGAGTTTCTGTTTTCTAAACTTCTACATTCTAAAGCTTCTTCATCTCTGAACAGATTATTAAACACTGAATGATTTCAAGCAGAAAAACTTGCTTCTAAAGTTACATCATTTATTCTTTATTCAGATTGAGGGGCTGCAGTTTGTCAGAGATCAGCTGTGCTTCTCTGGCCTCAGCTCTGAAGTCCAACCCCTCCCATCTGAGAGAGCTGGAGCTGAGTGGAAACGAGCTGCAGGATTCAGGAGTGAAGCTGCTGTGTGGTTTTCTGGAGAGTCCACACTGCAGACTGGAGACTCTGAGGTCAGACACCATTTTTTCTGCTGTGCTGAGATTTATATGATGTGAAAGTTGTGGTAAACTGCAGACGTGAGGCTGATATTATACTGATCCACACTGAGTATCTTAATGTTGTGGTTTAATCCATTGACTGTGGCAAAGAAAAATTAATCTTCACATTTAAAACATTAGGAGGTCATATTTTTTGTGCATGTAATAGATTTGCAAGTGAAAAAGCCCAGAGGGAGAAAAAACACTGCTTCTGAACTGCCTGAAAACAGCTAGATTGTAGCCCAGCCTTTACTTCCATAACCTATGTGTGTCACAATGTAACACACGTCATAACACCTAAATATGAAATTAAAATAATGTTAGAGACCCTCCAGGCAGTCAGTGGACATAAAGTTGTACTGTGATGTAGAGACAGTGAATAGTTAAAAAGTTACGTATGAAAGATAAATATGTTACAGATTAATAACTTACCTCTCTGAAATGTTTTTCTCCAGTCTCGTTTGCGAAGCTGGTTCTAGTTGTTCTGCCTGTGTTTCGGGATCAGACTTCTGCTCGAACATGTACAGCTGAACCGAAGATAAGGTTTCCACCTATAGCAGCTTTGTTTTAGATAATATTACCTATCTTGTCACGACCCCCCCTAATCTGCTTCAGATTGGCTAGTAGTCCATACCTAGGTACTGCGCTTGTTCAACTCCCAACAAAGATCAAATAGAAGTGAGATGCTTCACTCGGTAATTAAAATGGAGATTTCAACACACAGTGTATGACAAAAATATGGTGTTTTTTTGAAAATTTAACCATGTAAACCTGTTCTGGTACAACCCCTAAATAAAATTATTAACCTGAAATTGAGCATAATATGACCTATTTAATATACAGTATCTTTCACTAACAAAGACCACGCCACTAGACATATGGATTTAGAACATTTTATTGCATGAGGAAGAAGAGTGAGGTGTCGAGGGATGTGGGGATGAGAGTTGAGGGTAGGGAGATAAAGAGATGAGATGAATGAGGGAATGAAAAGATGAGGGACGAAGGGTTAACGGGAGGGATCAGGTGGCAGGTAGGCAGGAGGGATTGAGAGGAGTTGAGACTCCGGGCAGGTGAGCTGTCTCTTTATGTGCTCTGGAAAGTTGTCAGCCGGTGGCAGTAAGACAGAAGGGAATCAGGGGAGTTGAGACTCTGACTGGGGGAACCATTTCTTCATGTGCTCTGCTTCGGAAAGAGCCCCAAGAAGAAACTTCAAATGGAAAGACATTTCTGAGTTCGGATAGTTGGGTAAGTTACACTGGAAATGACCACTCCGCGAACTGAGTTTCTTATGGGGCAAACGTGACTGGCTAGTCTTGGGTTGTACAGTGTTTGTAGAGCTTAGGTGCGAGTCTAGTCAAAAAAGGTGAACAGGTCGAAGTAGGCTGGATCGTTGGTCTAGTTGCGTTTGGGTAGTATATTAGAGTGTTCGGAGAATGGATGGAAATGTCAAACATGGTTGCATTTTGAGATGGATAGGCTAATAGTTGAGGGTAGAAGCGGTGCCTTCCAGGCAGCACAGAAACCGAAGGAATCAAGTGGGAACATGGATTTGAAAAATTTGTTGGCGTACGTAAACAGTCTGTTCGAAGAGTTCTGAATCAGAGGAGGGTGGGAGGCCGGTGCCAATATCTGAATTTCTGAAACAAGGAATGAGAAAGAGAGGAGGATTTGTAACCTTTTATATGGGAGGCTTGGATAATGAACTGGTGCTCTGCCTAAACAAGGGTGAGCCACAGCGTGAAATGTGTCATGACTAGACAATGTGTCCTTTTAATGAGGTCTACAACGATGCTATTGTTGGATTAGATTGCGGTGATGTTCTGAATCATTCGTGCCCCCCAAAAATGGCTTCTATGATGGCTGGGTAAGTTTTACCGATGCCGTTTGGTTTGTTTGTGAAGCATGAGGGAAGAGAGTGGAGTAATAATGGCTCTTAACAATTGGACAATATGTAGGAAATGGGTGGCTGTGGGTGGAGATGTGGAGAAAAAGGATCCATTTTGAAGATAAAAAAGTCGCATAAGGCTCGTGCAGACTACACGACTTTCAATGTCGGCTGATCGCTGTGCTGTTTAGACTACACGACTTGCAGCGGGAGTGTTAAAGTCGTTAATGGTGTTAACTATGTGACTGATCAGTGACGGGGTCACACACTACACCAGCTGACAACGACTCCGTACCAGATGACTGGCCTCCAAACCACGTTTGTCGAGAAAACACACGTTAAAAGTGACACGGGAAATGACATGAAGCTACATAAGAAACAGGAGTTGTTTATTATTATAATGGGAGGGGGGGGAGAATAGACAGGATGCCAGCGTAGGTGTGGCCTGTGCGGCTGTGATAGCTGTTATTTTGATGGGAGGAGCTGATGAGGCCCAAGGAGATGGGATAGGAAAGGTAGGAACCGAGAAGAAAGAAGGATACCATAAGAAGGGATGGAGGAATGCAAGTGCTCGGTTGTAGGTGAGGCTTGAGATATAGAGAAAGGATGAGAAAGAGATTAAGGTGGTTCAGGTTCTGATACGACCTGGTCCTCTGGGAGGGCTGAAGTGCTGGGGAAGCTTGGTGAGGGAGGGTTATGTTTGTAGGGAGTCTTTAAAACTGGAAACTTTGGGATCTTGAGTGGAATCTTAAATCAGTGTGTGAGGGTTTTTCTTTGTGTTTGGCTGCACAACATGAGTTTGTATAGATGGAGCCACTGATGGAGCTGCAGAGTTTCAGGGGGCTTTAACACCTATAGGGAAGCAACTAACGACTATTTTGATTATTGAAACTAATAATCAAGTATTCGGATTATGAATTGCAAAATTACACAATGCCTCTCATTTAGCTATCAGCTTTGAAATTAAACTAGAGGTTGGTTTAGGCATGTGCTAATTATCAGTCAAGACAATCCGTGAATACTGCTTTCAAAAATAACGTTTTAATAAACGTTTCTGCTGCAGCAACAGAAGTCCTTTCATGGACCAAACAGGTAAGAAATAACTGTGTGCGCAGCGCTGTGCGAGCACTGATCTGCTGTCTAGTGATGGAGCAGCTTACATGCCGGTACTGCAACACACTGAGACAAACTGACACTATATTTATACAAAGAAAGGAATAACTTAATGTGTCACATCTGCTGAATTAAAAAGAGAGGACAAATAATAATGAGTTTATAGTAGACAGCGTTTCACAAAGTTTATATGAATTCCCCTAACTCAACAACTCACAAAACTTTTTCAAGATTTTTCAAGGGAGTCTGGGGTGGATTGGCTGCCACCTCACGTATAGACCGAAACTGTTTTCTTTTCTCCTTATTTTTTTATTTTTATTTTTTTTGTTTTTTAGAAAGTATGAATTTGTCCTGTGTTGTCATGAGCACTTGGCAGCATGTTGTCCACCTGTAACGTTAAACATTATCATGAACGATGCATTGCTTATGATTGTAAAATTAGGGCACATCTGCAATGTGAACGGGGCCGTTGTGTATCATATTTGCTATGTTAACTGGCATTAACAATTAATTGACCAAGGGAATATATATAGAAAACATTATACCTCAGTTTGTAAAGTAACATGGATTTAATGTTAAGCTACTTTGCTAAATAGCTTACCGAGACAAGTCTTCATCATCTAGAGAGCTGACGTTACTAGCCTCCTCTTACGTGCTCCCAGGCCAGGAGAGATGCTAATGCAGCAGTTCACAACCTTTTTGGCCGAGTGAAGAGTAAAATGCTCCGGCACTCTGGAGTGTTAGTTTGTTACTGTTGCTGATGTTGTGTTGTTTTTGTAACTTGCTGTTCACATTACTCCATTAAGCTGATGGTGTCGTTACGGCCCGATGACGTCACGAACGAACCGATTATTAAATTTGTTGCCAACAATATTTTACAAGCACCAGAACACAGGGTGCAGATGTTGGTTTCGCTTGTTTGATAGGCTGCATCATTAACAAGCCGATCAACTGCTCACCTGCTGGATCACGGGTTGAAAAATATGGAAAAAAGATGAGTTCTGTGTCTTTTAGGCGACTTTATAAAACGTACTGCTGATGGAGAATGTGGTGAGTGTGAGTCTGGGGAGAAGAGAACTCCAAAAAAAGTGTGAAGCAATTTTAAAATTTATTGTAATAACATCTGAGGTGATTAAAACCTGTTTCCACATGGAGGTACAATGTGAAAAATTTAGAGTTCTTTTTTTGCAGAGGGTGTGGGGTGTTACAATCACAATGCCTTTTTTTTTTTTTTTTTTTAGATTGTGGGGCTGCAGTTTGTCAGAGATCAGCTGTGCTTCTCTGGCCTCAGCTCTGAAGTCCAACCCCTCCCATCTGAGAGAGCTGGAGCTGAGTGGAAACAACCTTCAGGATTCACAAGTGAAGCTGCTGCGTGATCTTGTGAAAAATCCACACTATCGACTGGAGACCCTGAGGTCAGTAGAGGGTTGGAGTCAGTCCATGCTGTATTCAGCAGTATTGTACTAAACACAGTTAGTATCAAAGCAGAGATCCAGTATTTCCTGTAAACCTCCAACCTTCTCAGCGGCTGCTTTCCTCAGTGAAGCTGTGAGAGGAGAATGATGACAGGCTTCAGGATTGGACAGAAAGACAGAGAGAGAGAGAGAACAGGCAGTGATCATGTGTGATCAATTAGGACATTTTCACATAGGGGTGTACTCACTTTTGTTGCCAGTGGTGTAGACATTAATGGCTGTGTAATGTGTTATTTTGAAGGAAAAGCAAATTGACACCGTTATACAAGCTGTACACTCACCACTTTACATTGTAGTAAAGTGTCATTTCTACAGTGTTGTCCCATGAAAAGATATAATCAAATATTTACAAAGATGTGAGGAGTGGACTCACTTTTGTGTGATACTGTATATCTGTCCATGTGTCTTTATTTTAGTCCAAATGTTTGTAATTTTTCAAACATTGTAATATTTCAAAAGTAGATGAAATATTCAAATGTGACTGAGACACTGTTTTTTAACAGCTTTGAGCCCAAACAGTAGTAAATCCATTACAGTGAGCAGTGAATATCTCTGTGTAAGTTTATTTATAATGTCAAATCACAACAGATGTTATTGCAATTTTCATATAGAGCAGATCTAAACCATCCTCTCTGTAATATTATTTACAGAGACCCAAAAATACCTAGTATACAAGTACCAAGTTTTACATTTACTAATTACATTTACTGACGCCTTTATCCAAAGCGACTAACATTTGAGGAACAACATACAAGGATCAATAAAGTATCAAAATAGCAAGAGATCTACAAGTGACAATACCACTTGTAGATCTCTTGCTGTATTGATACTATTAAGAGCGGCAATAAATACTAGTAAGAGTTAATAGCACGTACGGCATCAATGGGGCAAATACCTAGAGAAATCATGGTGTCACAGATGAGAACAGGGACTGAGATCGCTTTGTGTGTAGGGGTGACAGAGCCAGACACCATTCATTGGAGGAGTGCAGTGGCCCAGAAGGAATGTAAACTTGTATTATGGAGTTTAGGTAGATGGTGCAGACCCAGTAGTCACTCTGTATGCAGCATTAGTGACTTAAATTTGATAGAAAAAGTTTTGTTTTGAGACTTTTTAACACAATAATCCAATACATTAACATGAGAGCTGAAAGGAAGCTGGCTACGCTACACAGCCGCTCCACTTCTGGTCTGAACAGGACTGAAGTCCCTGCTGGTCTTTATACTGGATGTGCTGCATCACTGACTGACTGAAGGGAGTCTCTGTAAACTCTGATTTATGACTTCTGCTGTCTCTCTTCTTCTCTCAACAGTCTGTGGCCTCTGTCAGAGAGTGAGGGATCAGAAAATTTGTGTATGGAAAAACAACCAGCTGCGTCCTGATGATCCAGAGAGGTTGAAGCAGCAGCATCAGCTTGTGTGTGGAGAGGCTCTGACTGGGCCATGTTACTGGGAGGTAGAGTGGAGAGGAGAGCTTCATCCAGCAGTGACTGACAGAGGAATCCCAACAGTGCTGCAGTCTGAACTGCTCTGAGATCAGCTCCACTGTCACACACAAAGTCAAGTCCACCATCATCCCTGTGTGTTCCTCTGGATGTGACAGATTATCATCAGTGGATCTGGACTGCTCTGCTGCTGCTCTGTCCTTTTTCCTGTCTGAGCTTTACAGATTTTATGTTAATTCACAATAAGAAGCAATTTATGTCACATCTGTAGCTCAGACGAGTCTTAGAATAAACAGTGGTGACATGTGGAAAGATTTAGGGATAGTGTTGTGTATTATTTACTATCTTATTGTTTTAAGTTACAGGATGATGTTACTATATATTCTATTCTAAACCACTTCTGTTTAAACCACTCTATTGGCCACTCTTTCTTTGGTGTGTTTTAAGGTTTAAGCCGTTCTCTCTGTGTGGTGATTTTCTTCTCTGTACAGTGACAATGATTCTCCTTGTGAGCTTCTTATGGAAAGATTTAGAGATGGGCAGAATGAGGAAGGCTGGAAGTGCTGTAGAGAGATTTAAGGTCAGCCAAAGCGAATGTCTCAAAAAGAGAAAGATTAAACTGAATTATGCCATAATGCAATGCTTTTGTAAAGGATCGCAGAGGATTGTCCAGCAACATTGGAATATTTTGAAATCTGATCCCAATCCTAAATCAGTCTTTAAAAAGCCAAACATTCATGATCTCAAAGTCAGAGCTGACCTTCCACCAGAAAGACTAGACAGTTGGTTGCAATTCGGAACCTCACCGCTAGATACCAATAAATCCTACACACTTAAACTCTAACTCTTTTTTGAAAAAGACATACACCACCTCAAGCGAGCGTAAACTTTTTTTTGCAAAATTAAGGACGATTTTTTTAATTTTGCCGTTTTCGTCAACATTTTCTAATGTGATACTTCCTAATGTGCGTTAAAATCAGTTTATGGAAACCCAGCTAGCATACGTTCCAACGATCTGTGCGTTTGAACTCACTCATACACAACCCATCCACACTGAGATACAAGAGAGGCGTTCTAAAATTTGTATAGTGTAGAATCTAAGGGCTTAAATTCAGAGTTTGATCTTAAACCTTTTTCTTGTAAGTGGTCGTAGTTGGAATCAACTAAGTATCATTTTCCAAGAATGTTTGACAGACCCTATATTTTTCTTTAACACATATCGTTCTGTCAATTTGAACTGTCTCTCCCAAAACTCTGTATCTGTTGATGAAACCTTCCCTTCAGTTTCTTTTTGTTAGTGCAGTGTTTCAATATAAATTCTGGCCACTTGTGAGGCTGAACTGTTACTAAAAAAACTTTTTTGGTCGAGTAATATCACTGTTTTCTGTTTTGTTTATGTATTTTTCTGTATAGTAGTTTTTCTATGTTTTTTTTCTGGCTGATTTATGAAATATATTTGACTCAACTTCTAGTTTGTTGGATTTAATATGTGTAATCTATTAAATCTATTGTAATCTGTATAATATTGACAATGAGATAATGTAGATTTTTGGGCGAGTAACATCAATGTTACAGTAGGACAGACTGAATATTAAGTATTATAGTATTATAAAACAGAATAGAACGATATATACTACTACGATAGATGTTAAGATGTTTTTATTGGAAAAATAACTCGTCCTAATTTATTTCTTAAGATGACCTGTCTGATTTTTCTCAGAAGTGTTGTTTTGTGTTTTTACATAAAAGTTTAACAAAAAAAGGAAGCTGTCAGATAAATGTAAAGTTAAATATGTAATATTAGCCTCTGAGATGTAGTAGGACCTGCTCACCTCCAAGACTGAGGTGAGCATGAAAGATTGTGGCCGACCCTCCCACCTCAGACACCAACCGTTTCAGAGGCTGCGGTCCATCAGGACCAGAACCTCAGGCCACAAGAACTGTTTCTTTCATATTCAGCTGGTCTCATAAACAAGACCTGCAACCCTATTAAATATTTAGCACTCTCTGAACAATCTGCCATATTGCACATATTCTTTATATCTATTCTCTTATATTCTCTTATATTTTTGTATTATTATTTAGTTTATTGTAATGCATCAAGTCATATAACAAAATAACAATACATTAAAGTTTATTGGTAAACTGACACGTTGTCCTACTTTATTTCTTTAGATGACTTGTCTGATTTTTCTTTGAGCCACTTAAAGAGCTCCTAGTTAATTTAACTGGTCACACTAAACCATCAGCTGAGCCCACAAATGGGCTCAAACCGTCACTGCAAGTGTTGAATTGTGTTTTTTTACATAACATTTTATATATGTTAAAGCACTATTGAGTCAAGTCAGATCTATGCACCATTGAGTCTTACATTTTTATGCTTTGGACTGCAACTAATGGTCACTGCTGCTGTAGTATCTGTTCTTGAAGTGAACCTGAAATGTCAGCTGTGATTTATCGACCGTGATATTAATCAAATTGATTTTATTTAGCGCCTCTGCCCATCAGAGCAACTCTGGGTTTAGTGTCTTGCACAAGGACACACAGACAGGGGGTTGAACCCCCGACTTTGGGATGAATGGACGACCCACTCTACCTCCTGAGCCACAGCCACCCGTCGAGTCTAGTGTCCAATCTGCCATACCAGACTGTTCTAGATGAAGTGAAGATACTTGGAAAAGGTTTTTGTGAGGGGAGAAGACTCTGAGAGGCTCCTGGTCTGAGGGTAAGAGGGTCTCCTGTCACACAGAAAGATCCAGATCCAGCCGAAGATGAAGGAGCTGATTCTGTGTTTCTGTTCCCTGTAACTCTGTAAAAGAAAACACTGCAGGAAAAGATCTTTAGCTGGAAACTAAGGTTTATTTACATGATATAATCAGACATGTTTTGACCAAAACCCTTCTTAATTCAGTCTGTTCAAGCCAAGAGAGACTCTCATAAACAGGTCATGTTAAAAAGCAGATCTGTGTAAACACCACACACTGAGAAATTGATTTCCTGTAAATGGAGAGGAGGAGCAACACTGAGCTGGTGATTCAGTCTCATGAGAACAGGGAGGAACCCAGAAACTGAAAGTGTTTAGTCTGTTCAGACTCCATTTTGAGTCAACAGAGCAGAAGATAGTAAACTGAAGGTTGAGGCAGGGTGAGTGTTTATACAACTTTATATTATTTTACTGTCTCTGAGTCAAGTTTCTCCCTGTGGACTGTAGAGTCAAAGAAACGTTGAACTCAACATTTTGATTCATCTGTGGACACAAAGTCGTAATTTGCTGAATAATACACATTAAAGCTACAGTAACCCAAGAAAACAAGCACAGATCTGAAGAAAAGAAAGGAGTTCAACCTACTCAGAGTTAACTCAGGGTTATCAGGCAAACTCATGGTTGACAAACTCTGACCGCCTACACTGGAGAGAAACGCTACTACAAAGGTGGATAAGATGTTGGTTAGTTAACCCGGTCTTCACTTAATTGGAGTTGGTGCGCGAGTTTTTTCGCAATGGCGCATGCCCAGTATTTTCCAGAGGAATGCACATTGGTAGTGTCAGGAAATTATGAATGCAAAGACAAGTTAACGGCTAAATCTAATATCATGGCGGCCGACAAAGCCAGGGAGGCTTGTTGGCATCTCATGGAGTAAATTTGTAGCCTAATTATCTTCAGTGTTCTTATAGTTCAAATCTCTGTGCATTTTATGGGCTCTTCTTTTAGGCCTATGTGTAATATGATTAAGATGTGAAGGTACAACTGCATATAAGGTCCATTGTAATAGGGAAAAAAAGGAGCCAGCAGCAGGGGAGTGATAACCTATAAACCCGAGAGAAAGTTTAATTTCCAAGATTAATCTACAAGTAAAAAACTTGAATATTCTCTGACATTATAGTCACACATTGATGAGAGAAGCTTCACTTTGCAAGGCTGCAACATCACACACACGTCTGCAGTGTATGCAGTGGAAAATTTGGCTATGTTAGACTGCAATCGGGTTTTGCAGTGAGGAAATGCTCTTAAATTTAGCCCACAATCACTATCATGCACCTTAGAGACTTTGCCGTGGATTGGATGTATTCAGAAGAAAAAAACAGAGTGATTTTCGATTTCTTATGACATTAATTTCAGGGAATTCACACTTTAATCTAGGATTTTTTTTCTCAGTTATTAACCCCGACCCTGGCTCCCTATTTTTTGGACATGTAAAATAAAAATCTAAATATGTGAAAACACTCAGGAGAATTCAGTTACAGACTACAGGTGGGCTACATCTAAGAAACTATCCCGTTAATTAATTAAGAATCCTCTCTAAAATCCCAGAGGCTGAACTCCTGAAGTTACCTGCCAGTTACCTCGCTTCCTAGCACAGGCCACTGGTGGAGAGCTGACTGGTTGGGTGGACTGTGTGTGTTGTGGCTGTTGAAAAACTTGTTTCTCTTGTTGCTCGTTGTTCTGAGCTCAGTCTGTTGGCGTGCTGTTTTACATCTCAGATTGACTAAAATCCAGATGATGAGTGTTTGTGTGGAGGAAGAGGAGGACAGAGCAGAGTCTGCAGGATCCAGCTGTTTGTCTATGAAGAGTGACCGGTCCAAACAGGAACCTCCATCCTTCAGTAATGGACCTGGACCCTCAGACACAAAGTAAGAGCACTGATGCCGACTCATTGATACGACTCATTTCCACTCACCTCTGCTAACGGCATGTTATGTTTAGTATCCCTGTTGGTTTTGTATTTGGATAACATAAAATTCTACTTGTAAGTGTTAATTAAAATTAAAACGTTTTGTGATACAAACAGAAATCATTTGTTGTATCTCTGTCTTGTATTGTAATATCTGTGACTGCTGTCTGTCACCTGGAAAAACTAAACTACTTTTATTCAATGTTACTACCTGTTACATCTGTGTGTGTTTGTATATAGGTAGGTGATGGTTAAGTGGATAAGACACATGCCTTTGGTGTGAGAGACCCGGGTTCTCAATGTGTCCCTGAGCAAGACACTTAACCCTTAGTTGCTCCAGAGGCGTGCGACCACTGACGTATATAGCAAGTTGCTTTGGATAAAAGCTTCAGCAAACTGAATAAATGTCTATTTTACTACTGTTTACAAGCTGTTTAATCACAGTATATATACATATTAATGTATGTGCATTACCTGTCTACACCCTGTTCTTCCCTGCCCATCAACAGTTCTCATTATGCATAAAATGCTTAATACTAAATAAAAAGTTTTTGTGAGACAGACAAAAATAACTAATTTGTTGTCTATCTTCCTCTTAGTATCTGTGACAGCTGTCAGTCACCTTGACATGTCTATAAGCTTTTAAACCTCGAATTATCAACAGCAGCAGTAGTTTGTGTATTTAGAGCTTCCTAAATGATTTTGTCATCAGGGAATTTATCAAGGATTCAAGTGATCTAAATGAAAACCTCTCAAAAACATGTCAGGTTCTCCAGTCAGTGCGGTTGACCAGTGACACTGGCTCAGATCTGGAGTTCTGGTGGTCCCTGGTTGCTGCACAGTGACTGTCCACTGCTCCCTTGTGGGATGGGTTAAATGCAGAGAATACATTTTGCTACATGTATGTGACAATAAAGTACCTTTTACCTCTTGGTGTTTGCAGAGTTCAGTACAGACAAAGAGCAGAGTCTGCAGTATCCAGCTGTCTGTCTATGAAGAGTCACCGGTCCAAAAATAAACCTCCAAACTTCAGTAATGAACCTGGACCCTCAGACACAAAGTAAGAAACTGCTTTTCCTGTAAACTGACCTGATGGAAGATGATGCATTGAGAATGAAGACAAAATTATTTATATTCCTGATGCAGAATTATAATTACAGGTGTTGTTTCAAACTAAGACTTACTAAGGTTTTAGTATGGGTTTTATAGCCCCAAACTACTGATGGTGTTTCTGTAGCAAAACAGATGTCGAAGTTACCATCAAGATTTGCGACTGTTCAAAAATCCAATAGAATCTTCTTCAAATGTGTGTTTCATTTTTAAATATATGTCCTAAATATTGTGTTGCTTTGGGCAGCTCAAATCAGCTTTTATGACCTCCCAGATGCAAGTTGGATCAGTTTATATCATAATTGTGCAACATGTGTCGAAAAGGCATTTATAGAAAAGCATTGCTCGCCTTGATTCTGTGTGCTGACAGTTTCAGTTTGCTATTTAATGAAGTACTTATGTGAAATCTAGTAAAGAGACTGTGCGCTCAAAGGTCCACTTACAAATTCAGATTAGCTTTATTGCCATGAATGTATAGCAACAATATTGCCAAAGCTACATATAAATTACTAAGGAATCAGAGCTTGCAGTTGAAAGCTTTGGATCATTAGTAAGTGGACCTTTTGAGCTCAGATTCTCTCTAACATGTATTGTTCCTGAAAGTCAAGACCAGACCTCTGTGGGCAGCACTTATGTTATGCTTATGTTATGTTATCTGCAGACAAAGGGGGGGCAGACATTTTTGTCCAGAATGCCGGTGGACCAAACAGTCAAGGGCTGTCAGACTCGCTGAGCTGAGGTGGACACCCCAGGTTGACTGGCTGCTGGTCTAAAAACGAATTGGAATCTGTGTCTGTCTGAGAGTTTCTAATGATATTAATTTTGACTAATCGCTTCATTATGCTTGAATGCTCGGCCCTTATGTGCCTTGTGTTGAAGACAGAAGCCTCTAAATGCAGAAAATGAACGGCTGTGCCAGCAGCTGGAGTGCAGAGAAGACCAGGAGGCTGCAGGACAGGGACAGAGACCTGAAGATGTTCACAGAGTAGTAGAGGGCAAGTGGTAAGAAGTCAAGTAACTAGCTTTGGCTGTGTGTTAAGGCCCAACTTTGACTCAACATAGCCATCAGATGCTAAGTTTATAAAACAAAAATTCCAAATTTGTTTAGATAGTATTTTCAACATTACTTTGAAGGAAAGATTACGTTATGATTGCAGTGAATAGATGATACAGTCCTGGTGTGGCAGCAATATCAAACTGCAGGGCTGCTTTTAGTCTGTACCTGAACAGTGGAAACTGACAGAAAACAAAGGGAATGATAAAATCCTTTTCTTTACAGGCTAAATGCTGGATTCAAATGGAAAATTGACAACCTTTTTGCTGTTCTGTGACCATCTGAGCTTCTAGACTGAGTTCTGTTAACAACAATTAACAAATGTCTTCACAGAGAGCGAAAGAGGAGTCGTGTTTCTGTGGAGGAGCAGCCGTCCTGCTGTGCTTTGTGTCAGGACGTCCTGAAGGATCCAGGCTCTGCCAGCTGTGGACACTGGTTCTGCAGACAGTGCATCACCTCATACTGGGACCAGTCTGCTTCATCAGGACACTCCTCCTGTCCCCAGTGTGGAAAAAGATCCAGAACCAGAGCTGGACTGCAGACAGCCAGTCAGAGCAGCTCTGTACAAAGTAAGACTGAACATCTGTCTGCTACTTTTTAAAGTCCAACTGAAACTTATTAATTCATTTTTTTTTGACCCGCAAACATATCTGCTCTGTATCACTTGTCCTGTGTTCTCCTTTGAGAAAAATCTCAATCAATAGAAATTAATGTGTTTAATATTTTTTATGATAGCACATTTATCTTTTCAATAACCAACCATCTCCTTCTCTAACTAACAAACACATGCCTCGTCCTGCAGATTGACTTGTTGTACAAGCGACCAAACAAACATCCTCTAAGGAAAAGCTCACTGCTAACATCAGTTTACTTCCTAAGTCTGAGCGCATTAAACAGGTTAAAAACTCAACTGGTTATCAGCTCTGATCAGTCTAGGGGTCAGGTGTATTCAACTTATATTGCAAGAGGTACAGAAAGTCAACTTTCCTCGGCTGCTGAGGTCAGAACAAATCGACAGGCCTACCTACAAATACGGCTCATGCTTTTTGCCAAAGTAAAGCATTTTTATTGAACAATAATACCTCAGCTCGTGTTGTGGCTAAAAGGGGATTTGTTAAATTCTTTTGCTTTAAGTTCATGTCTTTCCACCTGGGAGTGTTTCACACATGGCATCCATGCACTCCTTTACCATGTATCCATCTGGAACAAGCTTTTTTTGATGTCCTAAAAATCCACTTTTTTGATGTCATCATCTTCTATCATCTTGTGTACCTGTGTGAGATATTCAAAGATGTTTCATCCCTCATCCAAGAGACTTGCTCAGTTCTGACTGACTGGAAGTGAAACTCAGCTCTTCAACCTCTGTGGGGTCGTTGTCAGGTGATTGAGACCGCTGGTTCTTCAGAGCTCCTGGCTGTTGTAATGACAATCATTATGGTCGTTGGAGCCACCTGAGGCCAAGTTTGAACGACCATCTTTGGCATGAATGAACGTTTGTTTAGTTTCCTGGGAAGTGAGGAAAGGACAGCATTATAAGTTGGGGATAAGTGGTGTTGCAGACCCCTTCCCCTGTTAAGTGACAGTTTCTCAACCTGGGTGTAGATGGCTTCCTTGACACCTCTTTCAAACCATCCATCCTCTCTGTCTAAAATGTTCACCTGGTAATCCTCAAACGAGTGTCCTTTAACCTTCAGATGTAACTACTCTGCTGAGTGTTGACCTGAGGAGTTGGCCTTGTGTTGAGGCATACGTTTGTGTAGTGGTTGTTTAGTTTTCCCCGTAGTATTTGTGTTCTTCCTGGATCTTGTGGCTGTTTTTCACGAAGGTTCATAAAGGCAGGCTGTAAGTTCCCCCCCTTCAGGTGATTCTGTTCCTTTTCTTGGGCTTGGGCACTTGTTGGTATGTTCCCTAGCTCGGTGGTGCAGTGTTCTCATGACCCCTAGCTTATGCTCCAGTGGGTAGTGGGTATTAAAAAGTATCTGTCTGTGTGTTTGGGTTTCCTGTATACTCCAATGTGCAGGCTGATGTGATGTGTTCTATGAAGGCACTTCCTCAGCAATGCTTCTGTCTGTAAAATCCTCCGTTGTACTAGCAATAGGTGGTGTTTAGGCAGAGGTCCAGTAGTTTGCATATCTAGTCAGGGCTGAGGTTAGTTCTGTTGTTCAGGGTGTCTTTTAGCAGTTGTGTCCTTAACTTCACTACCTCTCCTAACGAAACCCTCTCTTTCTTTGTTTTGTCTCACACTCTGTTCTCTTCTTTAGTGAGTGGTGGTCTGCAGGAGGTTTTAGATGAACATAAGATCAGTCTGAGGAGGAGATGTGAACGTGTGACTGAAGGAAGTGATGAAACAGGAAGTGGAACCCTCCTCAACAGGATCTACACTGAGCTCTACATCACAGAGGGACAGAGTGAAGAGGTTAATACCCAGCATGAGGTGAGGCAGCTTGAGACCGCTTCCAAGAAGGAGACCCTCCATGACACTCCAATCAAGTGCCAGGACATCTTTAAAGCCTTACCTGGCCAACAGAGAGCCATCAGAGTGGTTCTGACCAACGGCGTCGCTGGCGTTGGAAAAACCTTCTCAGTGCAGAAGTTCACTCTGGACTGGGCAGAGGGCTCGGAAAACCAAGATGTCAGTCTGCTGGTTCTGCTCTCGTTCAGGGAGCTGAACTTGATCAAAGATGAGCGGCACAGTCTCCTCACGCTGCTCCATGTTTTCCATCCAACATTACAGAAGGTCCCAGCAGAGAAGCTCGCCGTCTGGAAACTGTTGTTCATCTTTGACGGCCTGGATGAAAGCAGACTTTCATTGGATTTCAACAACAAGAAGGTTGTGTCTGATGTCACACAGAAGTCATCAGTCAACCTGCTGCTGACAAACCTCATCGAGGGGAATCTGCTTCCCTCGGCTCTCGTCTGGATAACTTCCCGACCTGCGGCGGCCAATCAGATCCCTCCTTCGTGTGTCGGCAGGGTAACAGAAGTACGAGGCTTCACTGACGCCCAGAAGGAGGAGTACTTCAGGAGGAGAGTCAGTGATGAAGAGCTGTCCAGCAGAATCATCTCGCACATCAAGTCCTCCAGGAGCCTCCACATCATGTGTCAGATCCCAGTCTTCTGCTGGATCACTGCTACAGTTCTGGAGCACATGTTGACTACAGAGCAGAGAGGAGAGCTGCCCAAGACCCTGACTGACCTGTACTCACACTTCCTGCTGGTTCAGATAAAGAGGAAGAAGCAGAAGTACGATGAGGGACATGAGACGAGTCCACAGGAGCTGACGGAGGCTGACGGGAAGGTTCTTCTGAAGCTGGGGAAGCTGGCATTTGAACATCTGGAGAAAGGAAACATCATGTTCTACCAAGAAGACCTGGAGCAGTGTGGTCTTGATGTCACAGAGGCCTCGGTGTACTCAGGAGTTTGTACAGAGATCTTCAAAAGAGAGAGTGTGATCTTCCAGAAAACAGTCTACTGCTTTGTTCATCTGAGCGTTCAGGAGTTTCTGGCTGCAGTCTACATGTTCCACTGTCACACCAACAGGAAGATGGAGGTACTGGAAGCTTTCCTGGGGAAATACTACAGTGACTTGCCCCTGGATGAATTTCTGAGTGGAGGCATGGATAAATCCCTGAGGAGTAAAAATGGCCACCTGGACCTGTTTGTTCGCTTCCTTCATGGCCTCTCTCTGGAGTCCAACCAGAGACTCTTAGGAGGCCTGCTGAGTCGGACAGACAACAGTACAGAAAGCATCCAGAGAGCCATCAACAACCTGAAGGAGAAGAGGACCAGTGCCTCTCCTGACAGAAGCATCAACATCTTCCACTGTCTGACGGAGATGAACGACCACTCAGTACATCAGGAGATACAAGAGTTCCTGAAGTCAGAGAACAGATTAGGGAAGAAACTCTCTGTGATCCACTGCTCAGCTCTGGCCTACATGCTGCAGATGTCAGAAGAGGTTCTGGATGAATTTGTCTTGAAGAACTACAGCACAACAGAGGAGGGACGGCGGAGACTGATCCCAGCAGTGAGGAACTGCAGAAAGGCTCGGCAAGTCCTAATTATTAACATTATAATGCAACATAAAGCAGCCATCACTCCTGTTTAACAGTTCAGAACCACCTAGAAATCTTTTTAAAGAGAGTGTGTTGACAGAGAGTGTATTGACAGTTTCACAAAAGAGGTTACACTTACCGGCCCAGGCACTCTGGCCCCTCAGTACTGCTGACTGCAAGCTCATTTCGCACAAAACAATGTATATTGGCATGCCCTTCCAGTTCAGTATGACTGTAGCCGATTCGTGTGGCACACCTACTTAACTCTCAGCTAAGAGCTCATGCTAACAAATTTTCCCAGCTGTGTAGGAGGAATACATCTGGTTGAGGAACAGCCAAACTCAGCAAACAAGGTGAGGACAGTTTACTGTTAACCTTGGTATACAACATGGCAAGACACATGATACACTGCTCGAAAAATAAGGGAACACTTAAAGCAACATTATGTAAGATGTGTTTTTTTGTGCAATTTGGCGCCCCTACCGTTTCAGAGTGCAACACTCCACTGTCAGTTTTACACGTGCATTTGCTATAATTACAATACGATCCAAAACTATCACATTGCCAACATCAAGCAAGTGCGACAACACAAGACAGCAATATTACCGACTAGTCCAACAGAAAGAAGTCCAGCTCGATGTCTGGATCTTGTCAACATCCAGCAGCCTCTTGTTTGATATTCCACTCTCTCTTCTCATCCTAGCTTCCTCCGGCAACATCCTCTTTTGTGTATTTGCCTCTGCCATCAGGTAACGTTACGTCCCTAGAGGCTGCTGAGTCTGGTTATGCTGCCTGCTCACCCGGCTCCTGCTCATCCACCTGCAGCAGCACAATGTTTCTTGAATCTTGGGTTGCGAGCTAGCCAACAAAGCTAGACAGCAATCGATGCAGCAGCACTTACAGTAAAGTTAACGCCCAAGTGTGATATTTGCTAGTGTCACTACGGGTAGCATGAGGTGGTAACTGCAGCCTATTCATGTTGCAAATCCATTAGCATTCACCAGAGAACACAATAATAGCTAGGTCCACTATTTGCACCCCTTTCTCTTCACAGATAAGCGCAGGTTCACACTGAGCATGTGACAGATGAGTCTGAAGATGCCGTGGTGAATGTTATGCTTCCTGCAACATCATCCAGCATGACGGGTTTGGCTGTGGGTCAGTGAGGGTCCGTGGAAGCATATCCTTGGAGGGTCACATAGACCTACACGTCCTAGCCAATGGTACCTTGACTGCTGCTAGATACCAGGATTCAATCCTCAGAGCCATTGTCAGACCTTACGCTGATGCTGTGAGCCCTGGTTTCCTCCTGGTGCAGTACAATGCCCTCACGTTTCCCAGACCTGAATCCAATTTAGAACCTCTGGGACATTATATATTGGTGCATCTGATGCCAAGTAATGCCACAAACTGTCCAGGAGCTCACTGATGCCCTGATCCAGGTCTGTAAGGAGAGCCACTAGGACAACATCTGCTCTCTCATCGGGTGCATGCCCAGATGTTGTCGGGAGTGTATGCAGGCACGTGGGGGCCAAACACACAACTGAGTCACATTATGAGTTGCTGTGATGAAAGCCATAAAAGTTGGATCAGCCTGTGATTTCATTTTTTTACTGTGATTGTTGGTGTGATTTTGAATTCCACTGATTGTTTTTTTTCTCAACAAACTATAAACTGTGCAGTTAAGATTCTGACCTTTAAAACTATTATGTTCATGGAGGTCTGATGTGTGATTTAAGTGTTCCCTTAATTTTTTTGAGTAGTGTACAAATACAGCAAAATAACTTGATTATCTTGAAGGATTTGACACAGTATTTGTCTGCACTAAATTTCAAGTTTATTCTTATAATAAAGAATATATAGACCCATCTAATGTAAGAGTCGTGTTACAGCGATGCATCTTTACCAAATAAATAATCTGACATTTTATTTAGTTCTAGGAACTCACTGAATTAACGTTTTTTACTACAGACGATCTGACCTGCTGCCTAATATTCGTCATTTTAACCGGTGAAAGTACCAGAAAGTGAATAAGCTGAAAAAGACTTTTCTGTAGTTACTGATTATATCTGTGCCATGAAAGCTCCAAGAGATAAGGTTATTCATCAAACCTGCATGAACAATGAAAGCAGTGTTGGAAAGGAATGATATACAGTAAGACATAACTGTGTGACATGTGCACTACTTATTTGTGCAGCTGACTTTAGTGTTAACAAAGAATATAATTTATAGTGTAGCCTACACACGGGGAAAAACTGAACAATGTTTTAACAAAAAGAAATTTATTTCTGCCTTCTTGAAAATTCGAGGAAATATCAACCTTTAAGAATTTGTAATAGACAGCGTTTCATAAGTTTTTCTTAACAACTGCACTGCTTTGTAATGGAGTCTGGGTACTATCTCTCGGGGTCACAACGTGTATATATTGATTACTATTTATTATATTTGTAAAATCTGACATTTACTGTCAATCAAAATTTGCGTAAAGGGTGAAATCAGATGACGCTAACAGTGTTTTCACCAACATCTGCTGCTTTCTTGGCACATAAGATTCAACATGGTGCCCCTGCTTCCTTCTTGTGTGGTAATTACAGCTAATATAACAATAGACTTTTTATGTAAATCTAACAAAATTGGTTAGTCTACAGTATCTCAACAGAATAGGTTACAGTGCATTTTAAGGACTAAACTTTCTTGAGTCTTAAACTCAACAGCCAAAATATCTAATGTGGCATCTCTGTGGCATGTTGATTATATTTTTACAGACATTCACATATCTGTAATCACAAATCAATTGGGCCACATACAAATGATCTTATTTTTAATATGGAATCTTGGTTTGGGGTGAAGATACATTGAAGTACTCCAGCCCCTCAGCACCCACAGACATTCTGCTGTTTCCAGGCTGACCTTTTGAAGTTTGCCTAAAATGATGCAGAAGACATCAAGAATATTTCCATTTCATAGAATAGCTCTATCACACTGTAGAGCTTGCTGTCATTCAAAGAGAGCAGCACGCAGCTGCATTAGCAGGCAGAGTACAATAAAGACAGTAAAGTTCAGTAATGGTTCGGATTTTGCGTTATTTTAGCCGATACTGATCAATTAAAATATGTCCGGATCAGCCTTCTTGGGACATCCCTAGTTATTGCTCCATGTTAAACAATGAAATAAAATGAACTGAACCTTGGGGGAGGGGTAAATTATGACACATGATTACATGATTCATTTTGAAAGATATAGTATCTGAAATTGTTTTTTTAAATGTTATATGCCATCACAGACTTTCTGGCTGTCAACTCTCAGAGACTCAATATGAGGTTGTAGCCTCAGCTCTGAAGTCCAAACCCTCCCATCTGACAGAGCTGCAGCTGGACTCCAACAAACTACAGGATTCAGGAGTGAAACTGCTGTCTGCTGGACTGGATAGTCCACACTGTAGACTGGAGACGCTGAGGTTGTTTCACTGACTCTGTATGGTCTTGTATATCTTACATCTAATTATACATGAGTGTTTAATCAAAATGGACACTTTTGGGAATGCCTGCTTACTTTCAGAAATTGGTAGATAGGTACTATATAGTATGCCTTTCACTTTTTCAATGCACATTTGATCCAGTTATAAAGTAGAGAAAGAAGAGGATGAAGCAGAGCTCAGTCAGCTGTGTGTTGATAATGCTTAGAACTGTTTGAAATGAGAGTATATTTTTTTTATCTCTATTGTCCAGTTATAGATGTAACCTGATCCCTAAAACCAAAAAAGCATCTGTACCTCTACTGACTTGTTAAAAGTCCTCACCAGGAATTACAAACATGAAACAATAGTGTGAACATGAACAGGTGTTTGAATGTTGTGGTGATTTGAATTATGTCTGAAGAAGGCTGACATCATGATCCACAATAATAGAATAATAAATACACTCTACTCATTTTAGAAAAAAACATTCATTACACAGATTACCACATTACCACAAATTTGCATTCTAAATTAATAAATCTGCATGATATATTCATTATTCAGTTTGAGGGGCTGCAGGTTGTCAGAGATCAGCTGTGCTTCTCTGGCCTCTGCTCTGAAGTCCAACCCCTCCCATCTGAGAGAGCTGGAGCTGAGTGACAACAAGCTGCAGGATTCAGGAGTGAAGCTGCTGTCTGGTTTTCTGGAGAGTCCACAGTGTAGACTGGAGAGACTGAGGTCAGACACTATTTTTCCTTCTGTGCTGAGATTAATATGATGTGAAAGTTGATACACATTGTCTGTTTTCTTCTTTAATAGTTTAGTCCATTGACTGTGGCAGAGCAATGTTGAGCTCCACATTTAAAACCTTAACATAAGAAAATCCTAAACTGGATAATTAAAAAAAACAGTTTTTAAAATGTCCTTTATGTTTGACTAAAGCCATACTGCGTGTGATATTAAAAACAAACACATCATGCTTCTTAAATGGCATCACCATTACATGGAATGAAAATGAAAATGTAGGTTTAATTGAATTATTTGTTGACTTTTCCCCAAAGTTCCTCCTGACATATTTGACATCTTTGGGATCTTGAGTGGAATCTTAAATCAGTTTCTAAGGGTTTTTCTTTGTGTTTGTGTTCAGGTGTTTGGAGTTTCCATTTTATAAACTTCTACATCCTAAACCTTCTTCAGCTCTGAACAGATCTAAAGTTGCATCATTTATTCTTTATTCAGATTGAGGGGCTGCAGTTTGTCAGAGATCAGCTGTTCTTCTTTGGCCTCAGCTCTGAAGTCCAACCCCTCCCATCTGAGAGAGCTGGATCTGACTGGAAACAACTTGCAGAACTCAGGAGTGATGCTGCTGTCTGCTGGACTGGAGAGTTTACACTGTAGACTGGAGATTTTGAGGTCAGACACCATTTATTCTTCTGTGCTGAGATTAATATGATGTGAAACATGTGGTGACACTTAACCGCAGATGTGAGGCTGACATTATACTGATCCACACTGAGTATCTTAATGCTAAAGTCTAAACAGTTTTCAAAATATCCTTTATGTTTGACTAAAGCCATACTGAGTGAGATATTCAAACCAAACACACCATGCGTCTTAAATGGCATCACCATCACATGTAATGAAAATGTTTTAGATTTCATGTGAATTATTTGACTTTTCCCCAAAGTTCATCCTGACATATTTGGCATCTTTGGAAACTTTGGGTCTTGAGTGGAATCTTAAATCAGTTTCTGTGGGTTTTTCTTTGTGTGAGGCTGCACAACATGAGTTTGTTTAGATGAACCCACTGTGGGAGCTGCAGAGCTTAAGAGGTGAAGCACGTTGTCATTAAAATTAATGATCTAATCTTTATCATCTTTTTCACTTTTTGTATATTACAGTTTGAACCAGCATCTTGTTGGGTTCAGGTGTTTGGAGTTATATTTTTTTACTTCTGCATTCTAAGTATTCAAGCAGGAAAATTGTCTTCTAAAGTTACATCATTTATTCTTTATTTAGATTGAGTCTCTGCAGTTTGTCAGATATCAGCAGTGCTTCTGTAGCCTCCGCTCTGAAGTCCAACCCCTCCCATCTGAGAGAGCTGGACCTGAGTAACAACAAGCTGCATTATCCAGAAGTGAAGCTGCTGTGTAAATTTCTGAAGAGTCCCCATTGTAGACTGGAGACTCTGAGGTAAGACACAGTTTATGCGGAGAATAATATGATGTGAAAGTTGTGGTGACACTAAACTGCAGATTGTGATGCTGATGATAACCATTCCTGTTCGGTCACAGTCCGTAGTCGAGAAGAACAGGGGAGACTTTGTTTTTCTCCAGGGCCAAATTCAACACTAACTTCAACGCTAACTCCCGTCACTTTTCCTTCATCAGCTGGAAATCAACACATGGAAGCTCCGCTTCAGTATTGAGAAACTGTACTCTTTATTCACCAGTCACTAACTTACACTGTACATTTACTGCTAAACTGAGGACTTATGGCTAACCCATTTCTCTCTGCTCTGCTGACATTCACCATCGCAACTTATTCACACACACCTCCTAGCTCTCTCTCTTCCTTTACTACACACTACACTCACACATTCCTTGCTGACCTGTTCTCCAGAGTTACGCTACTCTGAGTAGCAGTTATTATAGAAATACATTCCAGCACAATAATATACATGAGCATGCATACCTACAGTCCTTGAGACCCCTTGAGAGGATACAGTAAATTAGCAGATTTCTATTCCATTGCAAGTGGGACTCCTGAAACCGTGTAGCTTCTCAGTGCAAATGCAAACATGTAGCAGTCCATTTAATTAGTGTACATATGTTACAGTAGAGGAATGCAAACCCTGAAATGGTATTAATAACATGGCTCAGCCTTTGAGAACAATGGCTTTGATGATGTTGCTCCTCCATACCAAACCCATTACCCTTGGGGCCCCCAGAAGAAGCAGTCTAGGTGAGGAGAGGTGTAGGGTGAAGCAATAGCTGCAGGAATGTCCACTGCTGGATCCAATGAGGTGCAGCTAGAGGCGTCCTCAGCCTTGGCGTTGGAGAAAAGCTGCGACAGACCCAGAACAAGGTCCGCAGGATCTAATCCAAGGCTGGGGATGACACCTCCTGTGGTGTCCAACTCTGAGCCTGCTCCACAGCCCAGGCGTTGTCCAGTGGGTCGCGGTAGCAATAAGGCTTCAGTTGGTCATGATGAACGACTTAACTTTGGTCTTTGGATTGTCCACTTGAAGGAACTTTACGACCTTGGTCTTTACTTTCCGGGTGCCTTTGATGAGGTACCACACGCCATCACTAATCTGGTAATGTATGCAGTAGATCTTGTCATATTGACTACGTTCAGACTGCAGACCAAAGTGACCCAAATCCCATTTTTTTGCTCAGATGTGACTCAGATCTGATCTTTTTATAACTGTGTGAACAGGCCAATTCACATGGAATCTGATCTTTTCCAAGTTTGGATTTGGGCCACTTCCATATGTGGTTCAAATCCGATACAGATCGGATCTTTTGAAATGTGACCTCAATCTAGATAGTTAAGTTGGAATTGATGCGACTTTAACATCACTTTAGAGCAGCTGTTGTCACAGTTCGGCTGTAAACAGTGAACGAAAAAGCTCCTCAAAAAGCCATAATTAAACATGTGGCTCTCTTCTTCTTCTATCATCTGCTCACAAATTCCCTTTCTTACACCTGACCGCATTTCCATCCATCTTCTGAGTTATGTGCATGCTATTTGTCTGAGCGGACTCAGTGGGGGGAGAGAGAGAGAGAGTTGCAGAACAGATGTGTTGTACAGCTCCACAAACCGTAATGAAACGAACAGAAAGTTGTGAACACATTTGGGAGAAATGTGACCTGTGAGAGGACAATGAAAATAATAATAATGCATTATTTTGCCATGACATCGGGGAACCCCCTATTCTTTGCGAGAAGTGCGCTGGGATCTTTAATGACCACAAATAACGTCTCATCCGAAGGACGGCAGCTCCCACAGCGTCCCCATCACTGCGCTGGGATGTTATTATTAGGACCAGAGGGGAAACAGCCTCCTACTGGAACCACTGACACTACTGCCAGCAGCAACTTAGTTTTCCCAGGAGGTCTCCCATCCAGTTACTGGCCAAGCCCAAACCTGCCTAGCTTTCAGTTAATAAGCAGTAGCAGGGTTGACATTGGTATGGCTGCTGACCATAAATGTGAGTCTCCCGTTAGCTAACAGCAGCTAACCTCTGTGGCTCCTTGTTTACTTCTGTAGTCTACAACAGCGTGATGCGTGTGACGTTGTGTTATTCTTCTGCGCATGTGGGTCACTTTCAGGCTGCGGACAGTTCATACTGGAGTCTGATATGGGCCACATTTAAGCAATAATGTAAACTGTCAAACAAAAAAATCAGGTCTGGGGAACAAAAATCTGAATTGAGCATTAAGGCCTGACAACTCCAGTTGCTCTTGGAGTTACTGAACATACTCAAGGGCTGAAGGGGTTGTGTCAGGGTTCGGAGACTAGCCAGCCACCAGGTCCCCTGGCCCACTCACTTCACGACTGAACATCAACTTGGCCATCAGACTGTGGTCAGAAGGGTGTGGTCTATGTCTTCTGGACACCAAAAAGCGTGCACATTTTCTAACCCTCCTCCGAGACAATGTGGCATAAAAATATTCGGTATGACATCGCCATATAATAGCTTTTTGATGGTAACTAATAGAGGTGGAGAAATAATTGATTCTTTGATGCATCTCAATGCAGAAGATTCTGGCTCGATAAACAAATGTCTACGATTATTAAATGTTAATTGATAACGTAATCATGACGTAGCGCAAACGGCGGAACTCACGGAAGTGCAGCGCCTGGACCGTATGTGGAGCACACACAACAGGGAGACCAGTTCCCCCTCTATTCAGCACACCACTGTTGCAGAATGAATAAACACCCTGCTTAAATGTCACACAATCATTAATATCAATGTGCAAGTAATGATTTTAACTCACACACTGTGCAAGCATGGTGACACTCAACGCTCGGCAGCTCCTTGCGTATCCTGTGTGAGGCCGAGTGAATGAGAGAGAGCGGCAGAATGTGGCGGTGAAAGTTAGCGGAGAAAAATGTAAGCAGTAAGTTTCTGTCTGGTAGTAAACGTGCAGTGTAGGTCACATTGTGTTCATTAATAAAAGTCTTTAGTTTCCCCACTGCCTGAAAAAGTGAAGGCTATTAGCGCTAGCTAACATCTCCCCTGTACAAGGGCTTGCACTCTGTCCCCCACACCGACTTTTGGGGACAGAGCCTTCAGTGTCACAGCCCCCACCCTCTGGACCTCCCCACAGAGATTCGAAACACTCCCTGTCTCGACACTTTCAAAGATCTATTAAAAACCCAGCTCTTTACCAAGGCATTCAATCCTGAATGACTTTTTGTTGTTCTGTCACTGTAGCTATGTGTATAGCGTCCTTGGTTCCTGTGAAAGGCAAACAAAGTAATATGAATTATCAGCTGTATGTCATTACTAACTAACCTACTAGTCAAGTGTAGAGAACATTTGGTACAAGCTTTGACTAAACTGGTCTACAGCTCTTTCCTGTACACATACTGTACATCCTGATAATCATATTTCAGTGTTCAGAGTTGTCTGACAACTGGTTGTTGAAGAAATGAGGAACCATGGAGCTGAGGTTAATAAAGTAAATTAGGGATGCAAACTAGTCCTTTTAAGATAATTAGGAGATGTTTCTTTTGGATTTTAATGCGCAAATTAAATGCTTAGTAATTATCCAGGGATCCTGTATAGAAAATTGATGCATCAAGATGCATCGATAATCGTTTTATAATCGAATCGCAGCCCTCTGAATCGTAATCGAATTGTGAGGTGCTCAGAGATTCCCACCCCTAGTAGCTAACAACAGATCAGTGTTGTTTTTTGTTGTGTGTTGCACTTAAATTGGTCCCGCTGTACCAAAGGATGTAAACTCATGTAACACGTGGATAAGGGGCATTCATCGGTTGTTGTTTATGTTAATTTCAGATTTCTTGTGTTTGATTGGCGTAGATATGTAAGGGGGAGCCGGGAGCCGTCAAGTCGTGCTTGGAGTACCTGGAGCGTTTTTTGCATTTAGCTAGATAGCTACCACCGTAACGTGCATACCTGTCAACCCTCCCATTTTCCCTCGGCTACTCCCGTATTTTACTGTTCTCTCCCGGTCACCTTCCATCAAATTATTTCCCCCTAAATCTCCCGTTTATATATACCTGCCGTTTGCTATGTTCCCCTCCGTTAAAGACAGTGGCAGTATGTAGGACAGCTCTGTAACAGTGAAGAGAAGTCAACAGCACGCGCAAATAAAAAAAGAAGAAAAACAGCGCAACAGGTTCTGGATGGATGATACGGTGCTAAACAGACTATTTTACATGCATTTACCCGTAAAATCGATACGTGCAAACCAGAAAAAAGAGTTACAATGTGCAAGTAAAAACTACAACTTACAGTCATTTTGGTGCATGAATGGTTTTGATTTTTTGTTAGTACTTAACATAAATAAATTAGAGACCAATTTAGACTGTTTTTCTTGCACAAAGATTTAATAAATGAAAACAACCTACAATTAATATTAGGCCTGTAGTAGTGATACACTTTATATTGAATGTTTAATGAATATAGTGTGGGAGTTGGGGGTGGCTGAAGCAGAACATAAAAAAATATAAATTAATAAGGAGGTTTAAGTTGAGTGATGAATCATGATTAAGACTGAGCAGTGATGAGATTTAAGTTGAATGATTAATAAGGATCATGTAAGTTTATAAAAACAATTTGCTGTTATGTCTTAGTACATGTACATTAAGTACATTTAATAGAAATAAATTAATTCTGCTTCAAGTTTCAATCTGGTGTCTTCTTTAAGTTTATATACGACAGAATACCTTATTATCTCATTTAAAAGTACTGAAACAAATGTTTACATAAAAAGTCAAGTTATTATTTTGGCCGGTAAAAAATATGTTTGGCCGGTTGATTTTTTCATCATCAGTCCCATTGGCAGGTAGCCCAAAAATATAATTTCCGCCCCTGCTGCTTCCTGTTGGGTTCAGGTGTTTGAAGTTTCCATTTCCAATCTCCTACATTCTAAACCTTCTTTAGCTCTGAACAGATTGTTAAACACTGAATGATTTCAAGAAGAAAAACTTAAAAATTACATAATTTATTCTTTTAGATTAAGGAGCTGCAGTTTGTCAGAGATCAGCTGTGCTTTTCTGGCCTCAGCTCTGAAGTCCAACCCCTCACATCTGAGAGAGCTGCAGCTGAGCTACAACAAACTGCAGGATTCAGGAGTGAAGCTGCTGTCTGCTGGACTGGGGAGTCCACACTGTAGACTGGAGACTCTGAGGTAAGACAACATTTTACTTCTGTGCTGAGATTAATATGATGTGAAAGTTGTGGTGACACAAAACTGCAGACGTGAGGCCGATATTATGCTGATTCACACTGAGTATCTTAATGCTTAATGCTTAAAGTATAGTTTTCTTCTTTAGTGGTTTACTCCATTGACTGTGGCAGGGCAATGTTGAGCTACACATTTAAAACCATAAAAGGAAATTCCTACACTGAATTCACTCTGACGCTCTTAAATAGTTTTTCACCTTAAAATGTCCTTTGTCTGTCAGACTTCACTCGGTAAAATACTTGGTAGCCTATAACGTTACAAGTCGCGGTGGATATTATAATATACAAGCATGGACCAGGTATAGCACAGTGCGGATGTTTGTTTCGGTTATTTGATAGGCTACGTCATTAACAGGCTGGCATGCGGCTCACCTGCTGCTGTCATAATGGTGGGAAAAAATGGAAAATAGAGGAGTTCAGTGGGGCAAGCCGGTGTGTTTGCAGTGAAAGACCAGAGGTGTAGGTGTGTGAGTTGGTCTGAGTGTGGGGAGAAGAGAAGTCCAAGGCAGGTGCAAAGCAGGTAGATTTAATGCCGGCTCAACTTTCAGAGGGCAGTATAAAGATTAAAGTTGTTTTTTTGCCACGGGGGTTTGCAATCACGATGCCGGCTCAACATCGTGATGTCTGTCCACCATCGCCGATGGACGATGGCATCGTCTATCGGCCCAACCCTATTGGAGAGTATTCTTAATTGAACGACGAGCAAAGAACAGCACTGAAGTGCGTGCCCTTTAGAAACAGTTCCGGTTCTGTGTAACAAACCATCTGGCGTGGTCAGGTTAGCTGCTGCTGGGAGTGGGCAGTACAGGGCTCTAGTATGCCAGTACCAGAAGCCCCTACTGAGGTCAGCTGCTGTGGTTGTTGATAGTGGGCAGTGGGGGGCATCTTGGTGTCAGAAGCCTGGTAGTAGGGTGCTGGCAACCCTGATGAGAGGTGTAGGTCTGGTGTTGGTCGACTTCCATTGCTTCTGTTGCTGGCTTTTATGCTGTCTTGAGCTTGAGGAAACAAGTGAACTGTCCGTTTTGGTAGTGATTCTGATGTCACGGTGTGTGTGATTACGTCACCCAGAAGAGAGCTGGTGTAGTGGAACTATGGTCATGATATGCTGACGTGATAGAGTGGAAAAGTTTTGCTGTATCGTCTGTTGTGAAAAATGGAATTACTTTTATCGTTTTCTAATGAGTGGCAACAGCTTAGTTTGAAATTTTAGACAGGAGGATCTCGCTGGATGTAGACCTTCCTTGACGTCTTTAGGATTGTGGAAAGTGGGGTCTCAGGTATGGAGATGGAAGTTTTCAGCTTTGATGCTGGGTCTACTGCAGTGGGTTGATGGAAACATTGAAAATGATTAATCATCTGAATAAGTCATCATCCATTGGGGATTGTGAGTCCATTCTCAAGATAAGGTAAGTGGATGGATGAAATCGCTTGTACTGAACCCGAATATTTAACATTATGGAACTGTAACATGCTCAAGGCGATGTTGCTTGGTATCGGTTCTGGCGCAAAATACAGTGAAGATGAGGAGATGGATTAGGTGGGTATTCATGGAAAGCTGGGAGTGGCATGATAGAGGTTTTTTGGTGCTGCTCCTGAAACTCTGCTAGATAGCTCCAAAAAATAGCTTCACGAAACGATGTGCCTACTCGCCGAGGTGTTTCCTCACCCACAAAATCTCATGAACCCACGTCTGTGCTCTCATGTTTCAGCCTTCTCTTCATGCAGAGAAAAGGCCAGAGCAAGTAGGCCTACATATTTTGTGGTGACATTTTTACATTCACTAAAATTAAGTAGGCTACCCTACTTGCAGCACATCGCCTCCACGGAAATGATGTATCATAGCAACCACAGCGTCTCGGAAAAAAACACTGCGCCTACAAAACGCACCCTCGCGCTCCCAGCTAGGTGTTTTCAGAACAGCAGGTGGCGTTTTCAGCTCTCAATAAACGCTGTGGTGGACACGGGCCCTCCAGCTGCTTCCGCTCTTAACATCTGATTATTAAACACTGAATGATTTCAAGCAGAAAAATTTGCTTCTAAAGTTACACCATTTATTCTTTATTCAGATTGACAGACTGCAGTTTGTCAGAGATCAGCTGTGCTTCTCTGGCCTCAGCTCTGAAGTCCAACCCCTCCCATCTGAGAGAGTTGGAGCTGAGAGAAAACAACCTGCAGGATTCACGAATGAAGCTGCTCTGCGATCTTGTGGATAGTCCAGACTGTAGACTGGAGACTCTGAGGTCAGTAGAGGGCTGGAGTCAGTCCATGCTGTTTTCAGCAGTATTGTACGAAACACAGTTGGTATAAATGAAGAGTCATGGTCAGTATTCACAGAGACCAATCAAAGGAGCCAAGACTTCAGCCACTCCTATTCCATCTACTCCATAGTCTTAATAGTCAATTTGACGAGTGTTGATTAGTAGAGCGTAGGGCGGAAGGACGGACCACTCTGGTCTTTAAACTGGATGTACATCATTACTGACTGATGAAGGGTCTCTGTAAACTCTGATTTATGACTTCTGCTGTCTCTATTCTTCTCTCATTAGCTGGAAGCGCAGGTGATCTCTGTCAGAGAGCGAGGGATGAGGAAGGTGGAGGTGTTGAGAGAGGATCAGCTGCGTCCTGATGATCCAGAGAGGTTGAAGCAGCAGCATCAGCTTGTGTGTGGAGAGGCTCTGACTGGGCCATGTTACTGGGAGGTAGAGTGGAGAGGAGAGCTTCATCCAGCAGTGACTGACAGAGGAATCCCAACAGTGCTGCAGTCTGAACTGCTCTGAGATCAGCTCCACTGTCACACACAAAGTCAAGTCCACCATCATCCCTGTGTGCATATTTGTTTGTTGTAATTCATTTATTTGTTCCGTTCTCCACAAGGAAATATACGATTTCCACCACAGATTTAATTGATGCTTTGCTGAGGTCTACATACTAAAACAGGACTCTGTCTTCATCTATCCATCCATCGTCAACTGCTTATCCTGCGTACAGGGTCACGGGGACTCTGTCTTGATCTTTGTGAAAAATTATGACTTCTTAAGACCTTTGTCACATAGCTGAAAAACAGAATATTTTTGTAACTTTTGTTTGAAATTCAGTGAATGAAGCTGATTCTCAAACTAAATCATGTCGTGCATTATATTCCTGGTGAGGGGTTGAGCAAATTATTTAATTTACAACAAATCGTTGTCTTTGAAGAATTTATTTAACAAAAGAGAATGCATAATCATTTCCACAGTCTAGGTTTTTATGTTTTTGGCGAACAGACATCCTCTCTCAGCCTTGAATGAACATTCCAGGAGAGGAACAACAAGAGGGGGAAAACATCAAAACAATCTCACAGCTCTGACCTAAACCCTAGTAAATGTGGACAAACTAACATAAGTAGTATAGGAGAGGAAAGGTTAAGGATAAAAACACAATACATATATCTATAAGCCATAATGACAATAGTAATAATATTAAAAGATCATACATAAAAAGATTAAATGTAAGAGGACACAATTTTCTGCCATAACAAAAATAAATGTACAAGATTTGTCATTTACAAAGTGCAAGGCTACATGACAAAATTAAATTGGTAGTTCCTTCGTATAAAATACACAAAATATGAATTGCTCAGACTGCTGAAACTTTCAAATCCTTGCTAAAAACCCATCTCTATTCTTTAGCCTTCAAAAAGAGTTGAGTATTGACATTAGTGTCCTTTTCTACTTTGTATGTTGTGTATATTATTTATTGTATATTCTGAACCTGTAAAGCACTTTGGTCAACTAGGGTTGTTTTTAAATGTGCTATATAAATAAAATTGAATTGACAGGATGAGTTCTGGATGAGCAGTGTTTGGGTCCAGAATGAGAGGAGTGTAGGAGACCATGTCCTTCATCTTGTTCCAGATGTTGAAGGCCAGGTTGCCCAGGTGTTTGGCCTGGTCTATCAGAGCTCCTGAGGGCAGCTGTGGATCATCCAGCAGGGGGCGCTGCTGGACTCTTTCCACTGCAGCCTTGTAGTTGAGCAGGAATGAGACGTCTTCAGCTCTCAGCTCCTCCTCTGTGGCTCTGACTGTGTCTGAAAGAGCTGCTATCTCTCTGCTCAGAGCCTCCATCTTCTCCTTCATCATCTGACTGTAACTGTCCTCCCTCAGTCGAAGTCACAGCTTTGTAATGAAGGTAAATCTTACCGTCTTGTCTGTCGCTGCGTCTCGTCTCACTGAGAACTGAACAGGAACAAACTGTGTCCCTGTTTGTTTGAGGTGAGTCAGGTGAGGGGCGGAGCTTTGTCAGGCCACTGATGTGTTTCATCTTAAAGGGAACAGATGCTGAATATGATGAATATTAACCATCACACTGAGATCAACCATCATTATGTCAACAGAGAAAAATGAAAACGTGGCATCACTGTTAACATCTGTTCTATAACCCTGTTTCCAAAAAAGTTGGCATGTCAACTTTCATGGAAAGAGCACCAAGGCAACACAAATTAATTTTCACTGTTGTTTCTGTGATTGTTTTACTCAGTTTAAAATCATTTTAAAGACAATAATTGCACCGTTGCACCTGTCCTACCAGTAAGAACATATGAGTAGTTTAATTTACTTTACAAAATAAGCAGTTAGACAAAGATAAAACATAAGTAATGAAAGTGGACAAAGTGCAAGAAATAAATATACATGAGAGTAAATAACAAACTTAATAAGTCAAAGTTTAGATCTCTTACTGTGAAGCTATGTTGACGCTTGTTCATCAAATATAAATCGATTTGGATGAAAGCGTCCATCAAATGAATAAATTTAAATATAGTTGTCTTTCTTATAAAATCTCTTTTGGATGTTGTGGTTATATTGTTATACTTTTCTAATGTGTTACAATTAACATATATAGAACCCGAAAGCAGACTCAAAGTTATAATAAAAGATTTATTGTATAGAGAGCTAGGATATTGCAGTGGAGGGCAGAGGGTGGGAGGCCGTGTGTGAGGGAGACTGAAACTAGCTTGGGTCGCTGGAGTTGATATGTGAAGGCAAGTTTAGAGCCTGAAACACAAAGAGAGATGGTATTAAACAGGAAATTCACTAGAAAGAACAGGAAGAAGGCCTTCGAGGTAACTTCTACAGAAGCTGACTGAACAATCTGGCGCCGAGTGATCGGGGTAGATACGATGCAACAAAATGAGCTTGATGAGAGGCAGCCAGGTGACCATGATACTAATTGTTTTCAGATGATCAGAGATTGACCTAATTGACCTGATCTATTATTTCTATGAAATGTTGTTTTTAAAAATGTTTACCACATATTATACTGAATTTATTATAAGATGTTATTATACCATGTAATAATAGAATAGGTACCCAGTAGTGAAATAATATATACAGTATCAAATCTAGCCATGAACAAAGTCTTGACTTTACCCAACGAAGGTTTAAATCAAGGGCAACTGGACTTGGTTGAAGCTACTGGAAGACGTTTCGTCCCTCATCCAAAGGACTTCTTCAGTTCTGACTGACTGGCAGGGAAACTCAGCTATTTAACCTCAGTGGGGTCGTTGGCCCGGGTCATCGATACCGCTGGTTCGTTAGTGTTCCTTGTTGCTGTGACGACAGTCGTTACGGTCGTTAAGACTACCTGTGGCCGAGACTGAACGACCATCGTTGGTATCTTCACCTGAGGCCAATAGGTTACGTTTGTTGAGTTTCCTGGGAAGTGATGAAAGGACAGCATTGTAAGTGGGGGATAAGTGGTGGCGTAGACCCCCTCCTCTGTTCAATGACGGCTTCTCGACCCTGGTGTAGATGCTTCCTTGACACCTCTTTCAAACCGTCCATCTTCTCTGTCTAAAATGTGCACCTGGTGGTCCTCAAACGAGTGTCCTCTGTCCTTCAGATGTAAGTAGACTGCAGAGTCTTGACCTGAGGAGTTGGCCCTTCTGTGTTGAGCCATGCGTTTGTGTCGTGGTTGTTTAGTCTCCCCAATATACAGGTCTGTGCATTCCTCACTGCATTGGACCGCATACACTATCTTGACTTTACGCGATGCTGGTCCTGGTGTACGGACCAGGCACGGACTGTGAATAATTTGCAGTCTCTTTAGGCCCGCACAGTGGACTTTGTGGCTGAGGAACAACACCTTGCGTTACATCAGGTTTCATAAATCTGCACCTTTTAGTCTTTTAGCACCTCCTGAAGTGCATCCAGGGCTGAATCCACATGTATCCACATGGCCCATTTACTGGTAGGTTGCCTGGGTAGACCAAACGGCACTGTGGGAGCATGCAAGAAAGAACCTACTTCGTCAGCTATTTACAGGTAGTGCTGTACTGATCAGACTAGAACAGCAAAATGTCTATGAAGGTTCTCAGTCATCCAGGTCATAGTTATCCAACGAAGGTTAAAAATCAAGGGCAACTGGACTTGGTTGAAGATACTGGAAGACGTTTCGTCCCTCATCCAAAGGACTTCTTGATTTTAACCTTCGTTGGCTATAACAGCAAAGTGTATACTTTGTGTAATCTATTATTAAAAGCACGCGTTATGCAGAACAGTGTTGTCATATCAAATATTATTAAATATATTAGATTATTATCACCTCAGCATGAACATTTAAGCAGCACCTGACTGTTAAATGTACTCAAATATTTCCGTCTGAAACGTAGTGAAGAACGAGGAGTTGAGTAAATATCCTTTCCACCTCTGATTTTTACAACAACTTCTTCAAATTCATGTTATTTGTCAGACTCTTTGGTAAAGTCTGTGCTGTGTTTTAGATGTTAAAGTGTGTTTTCTACTCGTCCTCGTCTTCCTCCATCTGTCTGTGGGTGTCTCTGAGCTCCCACAGCTCCCAGTCAGGCCCTCCCCTCTGTCTGTGGAGCCACGGCGACACACGGCTTCCCACACTTCTTCATCCCGCACACACAAAAGAAGTGTGTCTGTTCCCACAATGCCTCTGGGTTACCGCTCCATCTGGGTCCAGAAGTGCACTCAGACCAGGGCAACAGAAAGAAACCACACAGTACCTCTGTGGTGTATTTCTTTACCAAAGATGTAGAATGTTCATTCAGTAATAGTGAGTTAATACTTAATTTTATGAGTCCTGCAACTTTTAAAAATAACTTCAGAGGAAAAACGTTGTTATTTAAATCACTTATTTTGTATAAACACCCCAAAAATATTCATTTTACTGCAATTTGACACATCAATTAATCAACAAATCATTTCAGCTGATATTCTCAGACAGGAAGTTCAGATTGAGTTATTATTGGAGTTTATTGCTGGATTGATCTGTAGACAGATGAAACACAGTAAGCTGTGGGAGTGTTTCTGATAATAATCTCAATAAAGTTCAGTATTTTTATTTGGAACAGATCTGCCACGTCCCTCACTCTGTGTTTTAGCAGAAACTTATTATTTCCCTTAAATGCTGAAGATGTCATCTTGTGTGAGCTGATGTGTTTTGAGTTTTAATAAATTCGATGAGAGCTCTGAGAGCGAGCGGGCCTCACGGCTCGGAAAACTTTCCCAGGGAATATTTCCTGCATCTCTTTGACATCTGGCCCCACGAACAACATCCCACCTGCTCCGTGCGACGGCCCCTCCATTCAGTCCATTGTCCCCCAGCTGCCAGCCTCCCGATTGGCCGAGAGCGCGGGATGAGCTGCATAAATGCAGAGTGGAGCTGCAGCCGTGAACAGAGACGTCCTCTGAACCTTCAGGAAGAAGACAGGAAGCTGTTTGTGAAACGGACCAGCTGGAGATGGCTCAGTATCTGGACTTGGCTCTGCACGGCAGCGTGAAGGAACAGCTGTTCAGGTGAGTTAAGGATTTAGATGAAGACATAACATTTAATCCAGAAACCCTCCCACAGTCTGTGACAGCCCGTGTTAATGAAGGCTCTCTGTCTCTCAGGTGTAAACTCCACCTGTTGGAGAGGAAGTGCAGCAGCGGGGTGGAGAGGCTGAAGGCTCTGATTGGAGAACACCTGCAGAACGGGACCCCCGTGTCAGACCTCCTGGACAGAACCGTGTCCTTCCTCACGCTGAGAAAAGCTCTGCTGTCACACAGCGGATACTCCAAATACTCACGGGACATTTTACGTCTGTTTCCTGACGCAGAGGAAGACGTGGCTCCGCTCTGCTTTTAAAGAAGAACAACAGACTCTGTGGAACTGCACTCTGTTTCTGTTTTCTGGAAATCTAAATAATTTAGAAATGCATTATATGCATTTCAATAAGCAGTTGTGCTGCTGTACAATTAAAAACATGGATAACAAGCTTTTTATATACTGCTCTGACACACCAGACCTGGTGCAAATTATAACAGAAAATACTTTTGTTTAATTGTTTTTACACCCCTGTGCTTAGTGGATGTCATTAAAACCAGCATTATTTGAACCAGGTCTGTGCGGAGCAGAAAAGGCTTCGACTCCTCGGCTGCATGAAAGTTGAGTGCTGGACACTTTTATAGTCATTGAATTATTAAAACTGACATTGATTCAGCTGATATTTGTTGGCAGGAATCAGTGAACTCGTACTTTATTTACTCTTTAATTAAAAGGGGAATGATGATTCGTTTATCTAAACATATTGTTTAATTTGATTTTGCTTTAATTCTTGATGATGGTTTCACTTGTGTACCAGAATCTGTGTGTGTGTTCATGTTAAAAATAAAACATTTTCACCGTTACTCTTTTTGTACTGAGTTTGGTTTGTCAGACAGAAGCAGAAATGATGTTTCTGACAACTGGGAAATAACACAAAGAACATGTTTTGTCAGATACAAAAGCAGGTCTATCAGCAAGTGTTTTAATTGTATTGTTCTAAAGAAGTTTAGCAACCAGTTTTCAGTGGAGCAGAGAAGTGCTGCTGGTTACAAACATGCTGAAGATAAAGAGCCTCAAAAACATTTCACTAAATACTGTCGGACGCTGAAGGAGTTATTAGAAACTCTCTTATATATCTGAATGTTGAGCTTTCTGCTGTCGGGGTGGCGATGGAACAATGGATAAGACTATGCCTTTGGTGTACGGCACCTGGCTTTAATCCCCCACTGTGACACATCCACTAATGTGTCCCTGAGCGAGACACTTAACCCCTAGTTGCTCCAGAGGCGTGTGACCTCTGACATATTTATATAACTGTAAGTTGCTTTGGATAAAAGTGTCAGCTAATTGAATAAAGGTAAATTAACATTTCTTTACTTGTTGTAACAAAGCCATGTGAGGCTTACCTGCACTGTGCTGCTGAAGGAAACAAACAAACAAAGGTGAATAAAGAGAAACCAAACTCAGATTTTAAAGGATCCACATCAGAACGGCCCAACGTCTGACTGAACTCTGATGAAAGTCAAACAGAAACTATAATTATGCCACTGACCATGTTTATTTTATTGTTTATTGCACTTTTTCTTTGCTGAGACGTCCTTTTGCACTTTTTAAAATTACGGTTACGGTACCAAACAAAAACTTTTTTATCACATGACTATAAATATCTCTCATCAGCTGTGCGAGCAGTGAGTGAAAAAAGGGAGGGAAAAGCAGCCAATGAGCTTCTTTCCCTCCAGATGGTCGACGACGTTCTCCAGAGTTAATGGCCACCACAAAAGCTCCATTCATCAGAGGTCAGTGTGGGAAACATCTGCTGCATCAGCTCACTGTGAAACACTCGGCTGCTGTTTAGAAAGTAACTGAGAACATTTACACAACCTAGTGCAATTTAGAGATTCATGTGCTTTACTTCAGTTTTTAAATTTCCTTCTACTTTCTGCTCCACTACATCTCAGAGGGAAACATTGTGCTTTTTACTGCTCTATATTTATTTAACAGGTCTACTTTCTAGTTATTTTTTAGATTACGATTTTACAAAATAAAACACATTATTAAAAAATTCTTAGTTTTTTAGCAGTTCCATACAATTATATGATTTCCATGAGCTGTACGCCTTAATCATTAAAACAAAAAAGCAAATACTTAATTTTATGTGTTATAAAACTAGAGTATATGAAAGTTTCACTTCACATTTATTCATTTAGCTGACGCTTTTATCCAGAGCGACTTACAATAGCTACATACGTCAGAGGTCAGGTCACACGCCTCTAGGAGTTAAGTGTCTCTTGCTCAGGAACACAATGGTGAATGGGTCACAGTGGAAATCTCTCACACCAAAGGCATGTGTCTTATCCACTGCGCCATGACCACCCCTGACCACTTTTTAAATTAAATTACTTTATTTACGTGAAAAAATGAACTTGGCCACGATATTCTAACTTTCTGAGACGCACCTGTATACATCTTTCACAGTCTCCGTCCTCTCCAGGCACATTTCTCCCCAGACCCCTTCATTGCCTTTTTCCATCTGTCCACCAGGTGGAACACTTTCCCTCCATCACCTCATTGTCACACACACACACACACACCTGTTCCCACTTCCCTCAGCTGCTCTGCAGGTGCTTGGCCTTCCTCACCTGCATCTCATTCCCTCGTCAGCCTCTCAGTAAACACACCGGATCAGCTGTTACTTTGCTGTGTTTCTGTCTCGCCTTGTGAGTTTGTCATTTCAAACTTACTTTGGCAATATGTTCCTGCTCCTGTTAAAGCCGCTAAAGTCTTAATGAATTCGAGAGACAGAAAGAGAGAAAACACCTCTGCATCAAAATCAGACATGAAACCTTCCTACAACCAAAGAAACTGGAGGGATTATTTCTGTTTTTAGAGCTAAATACTGACTTATAATTTAAGTATTTCCATTTTCTACTACTTTCTACTTCTACTCCACTACATCTCAGAGGGAACTATTTTAGTTTTTACTGCAAGGAAGTCAATGAAAATACATTTGGCCTGCACCAATTCTGTGAGTATTATTTATTTAACTTTATTTCACCTTTGGAGAATTGTATGTGTTTCAGATCCAATAAATAGTTTTGTCAAATTCAGAGAAAATCTCCTTATGGTCTGCAAGCGTCTGCACTGAAAATAAATCCTCTGTAAGTAGAAAACAAAGAAAGTGGGCCGAGCCACACAACACTACTCCACCCGTGATGTGTGTGTCGGTAACTCTCCTGCTGCTGTTGTGATGTTAGATATAGCAGCAGCAGCAGGAGAGTCCCGCTGGAGCTGCTGGCTCTGGGACCATTTATTTATTTTGCTTATGTTGATAAATTCTGTCATTCTCTATTTATTTTGACATTGTGCTTGAATTTCATTGTTAAAATTCACAATGTAATGCTGATATACTGAGCTGAAATGTATTAAATAATGTTTCTGCTGCTAATATTAATATTATACGGTGTGACCTGATTACAGTAAAGTACAGAGGTTATCACGTGTGGCGGTGCAGGGGCAGCTTTAACTACATGATGGGGGTGGGGAGGTGGAAGTGTGCCGTCTCCCCTGAGAGAGACCGACTACAATAACGAGAATAATGAGCACCACATGTATCACGACACCAGAAGTCGACTGCTGATGTTTGATAAATGATAAACTCATCAGTGTTCAGCTACTCTGCAAATAATATCAATCATAGGGGATCAATAAATGCACAAAGTATTTTGACACTTAGTGGTTATTGTCCATGTTATAATTAATTACAACAGCTTTTCTTGACTTTTAAATTTTGCTAAAACATACAGTATGTGTGATCCTGTTTGTGATTTATATTATATATTTATATACATTGTTTTTGTAAATTTCTACAGTGTATTCAGGATTTCTTGGCTGTCGTACTTCCATTTTTCTATTACTTTATATTCTGTTATTCACCACAACACAGAGGTAAATTCTTGTATTTGAAATCTGTTTCAGTAGGCTTCGAGGCCACAGAGCGTGTAACCTGACCTGGCGTCAGTGTGTTGTGAGTCCAGCATGTGTCTTATCTTTATGACTTTAGGGGCCCTTATCAGGCTGCTGTCTGAGCCGCTGCACATCTGCAGCAGCCTGATCACAGCAGACAGCAGGAAGGTTCCCAGGTAATAAAAGTGTGTCGGCTCTGCAGCAGCACTCCCTCCGCCGAGCCGCCGTGAGGCCACTTAACCATGAGATAATTGATGCCTCTCTCCTATTGTTGTGTGAGCCTCGCCCACTGGCCTCAGAGTGTGGGAAAGCTAATCCTGCCTGGGACTCATGGCTTTGTAATGCTAATGTGGGCCTATAAATAGAGGAGAGGGCTCCTCAGCCACATCACAGCTCGCTCTGCTCTCCCACAGAAGCTCTGCTCTCCACCAGAATGGCTCCAACCAACACCAACAGAGACTCTCCCGTCTCCATGCTCTCCACCAAAGACAGACACAAAGTAAGTCCTGCTTCTCATTCGGTCTGCTGAGCCGCTGAGCTCCTTCTCTCTCTCTCTCTCTCTCTCTGTGTGGCCCGAATGTTCTGAATGTGATCCTGACCGAGCTTCTTGTTGTGTTCCCCAGATGAGGAAACCAGCTGTGGAGAAGATGCGCAGAGATCGCATCAACAGCTGCATCGAGCAGCTCAAGGTCCTGCTGGAGAAGGAGTTCCACAAACAGGATCCCAACGCCAAGCTGGAGAAGGCCGACGTCCTGGAGATGACGGTGGTGTTCCTGAAGCAGCAGCTGCAGCCTCAGAGCCCGGCCGCTCGCTCGGCTCACGGCGACGGCTACTCCCACTGCTGGAAGGAGACGCTGCACTTCCTGTCCGCCAGCTCCCTGAAGGAAGTGACGCTGCCGCACCTCCGGTACCTCCACAGAGCCGGGCAGGACGCCGGGCCCACGCCGGCCCTCTCCTCCCACAGCCACATCCGGGCTGCGGGGAAGCAGCTGCCCAGCTCTGACAGAGCCGTGTGGAGGCCGTGGTAGAAGCTGCGCTCACTCTGGACCACACCGATGGATGTTCACCATCAGGGAGCCTGTATGGGATATTTCTAAACTCACTTAATGCTTTGTTGCTTCAGAGTCTCTGGAGCTGCTGCGTCTTTACAATGTAAAACTGTTTGACTCCTGTGGAGTCGACTTTATTATATTCTGATACTGAATCAATGTTTGCGTCCTGTAGTGGAGGAGAGTCCTCCGGGTCGGTTTGACTTGTCACCTTTTATAAAGGAAACTTGAATATATTTTCTTATGTGGCATCGAGCCTCAATTATATTTGCCTGCTGATATTTGAATAAATTCATTCTAAATCTTGAAACCTTGAGTTATTGTCCTTTTTTGCATTTTAATTCCAGATGTTGAACATAATTTATTCATGATACAACACCAGTTGGTGATCATACAGTATGTAACTTAGCTGTAACAGAATCTTTATATGCCTTCCAGGTGTTCATTTAAAAATAAATGGTAAACATAACATGTATACTTATACTAATACAGTTAGGAGGTACTGCAGTTACTTTGTAGATAAAACATTTTAAATACTTCACACACAGTATTTATCTTATATTGAGTATTTAAACTCTTATTTTGTAAAATTCAATTCATCCTGTTTTAATTTAATTTTTATATGTCGCACACGATGAAATAATCTCAGACTTTTAAAAACGTATTTTGAGAGAAAAATACTTTTAGGACTCCCTAACTGATCAATAATGACTCATTAAGATGGAGAGCAGATATCAGATTAGATGTAAAGTAGTAAATATGAACTCCGCCCTGAGCTGCTAACAACCAGATGCTGCTTGTTAAAACAGAGGTGATAATAATCCAAAATAATATATGTGAATACATTTTATACTTGCTGATCGAACTTCTGTACTTTTGCTAAGTAAAACTTTGAATGCATGCCTTTTACTTGAAATGTAGTATTTTACATTATGGAAAGCATCTTGTACACTTCTGCCGCCACTGTTCAACTGCATAAAACGTATTAAAACTAGTTGTAGTATTTATAAACTTCTCCCACTACTGGAGGACCTTTAATCTTCAGAAACACATCAAATCTTAGAAATGAAACATTTATAATAAATGCGGCAGAGTAGAAGCAGAAAGTATCGTAAATTGAAAATACTCAAAATGTTTTAAAATATTTTGTGTGCCCTCATTGATGGACAAAATAACAGAAACACCTCTCAGTATGACATGATACAGTTTAACAGCAGCACACACTGCATCCTGCAACACCTCTAAGACACCTGTACCTGTAATATTGTAATACTGATATTTTACTAATGTTTGATTGACTAATCAGATGAATTTCCTCATGCAGAGCAGCTTCTAACCGGCCAGCTGTGAATCCAGATAGATGGATGGATGATCCAAATGAATAAACAACACAACATGTGTATTCACATATTTAGAGCGTTGCCTGTAAATCGGATTGCGTGCCGTCACACGTGGTGTGTGCGTGCGTCCGAGCGCGTGCTGTGTGCGCGCTGGCCTCTGACTGGTCGGCTCTGTCAGCTCTGGTTTCATCAGCAGCTGCAGGGCGTCTCCCCTGTGTGGAGTCTGCCGCTCCACAGCTTTCCCACACTCCTCTGCCTTTCTCCCCTTCATCCCCGGGACAAAGGAAGTGTGCCGTGTTAAATTATCCCCCCCCCAACCCATAATGGTGAGAACCCTCCTGACCCTGCCCCCGGCCCCCCCTCCTCCATGCTCACTAATCTGCCTCCAGATCTGGAGGGAAGAGCTGGTCATTTATCAGGTTGTTTTCTCTCATCATGTGTGTAGTTTTTGGGTCCTCATCATGTTTCAGAAGAACAAATTATGAAGTCTGTGCAAAAATATCTTTATATGAATTCATGTGTCTAAAATTATATGTTTTTTTCAGCACGTTTCGAAAAATAATTTACAAACTGTGTTACAGAAAGTCATAAAACCCAAACAAAATGCAGTGGAAGAAGTACACAGATGTTCTACTTTAAGTACCAGTACAACAATGTAAAATACAAGTTCAGGTGCTGCGTTTCAAATCTTATATATTGGTATTAGCAGCTAAATGTTCATGTGGATTGTTCTTGTCTACCTGCTTTCTTTTAAATCAAGTAGTCGATTCTAAACTGTACCTGAGTACAATGTCGTAGTATTGGTTGGGGTATCTATTTTATGCTACTTTAGAATTCTTTTACAGTATTTGAAATCTGTAGCACAGCTGTAAGATTAAAGTGTAGTACAGTACACAGTAGAAATACAGCGTTTAAAAAACTAAATTCAGTGGTGGGACAAATACTTAGATATTTGACTTAATTAACTATTAAATTACTAGTATTATAAAATACCTGCTGACTGTAGTATTTTTACACATTTGGAAGTCTGTGTAGTACACAGTACACTGGTGTGGGACACAGTACTTCAGTGTAGTACACAGTGAGCCGCACAGTTTTCTCTTTGAAGCAGTTTTACTTCCTGTAATCACACCTGTGTGGAGGCGTGGGAATCCTCTGCCCTGCGTCTGATGTCAGCAGGTGCAAGTCGGGCTGCAGGTGTGTTCTCCCAGGTGAGAGCGCACACTGAGCAAACACACACACACACACACACACACAGGTAAGGACACACAATGCAACACAATAACACTTCATTGTCTATTTATACACACATGACTGAGGGAATTAGTTTTGTCGGTTTTTATCAGAAAATCTAATGATTGTATTTCATTTTTTGTCCAACCAAGATACTTCAAGTATAAAAAACAGACAGGAGCTTTTTAAAAATATGTAAGTAAAGGTAAATAGCACTCGCCTCCCCCCAATAATGTTCATACCGTCCTTTACTCTAGGCTGATGATGCAGTCTGCTTCATAATGACAGAACTTTGTTTTAAAAAACTGTTGGAAAAACGAAATATTAAACATGTAACAAAGCTTTTCATGCTGTTACTGGGTGAAGTGTAACTAGCTATAATCAATAAATAAATAAAAATGTCTGTTTTATTATGATTATTCTGTAACAATGCATCAACTTTTATGGAATTTACAATAATCATTATGTTTTGCATATAAAGTAGAAGTATATTGTACCTCAAACATGTACTTAAGTAGCCTACAGTACTTGAGAAAATGCATTTAGTTATTCCACCACTACTTTTAACTAATGTCAATTTAAAAATACTTTTTATGTAGTAATTTCCCCCAAATTGTTGTTTGTTCCTTCAGACTGAAGCTTCAGAGCAGCAAACGCTCACATATTAACATAAAGTCTGAAGCTTGTTAGTTTGGTTGAATTTAAACGCATCCACTGAGGAAGATTCAAGGTTTTCAGGCTCTTAATTCAGATTTGGATCACGTCTGTTAAAGAAGCTCCTCCTGCCCCGACCAAGAACTCACGTAGCCTGAAACGTCGTGCAGGTTTTCACAGATCATGTTTGTTTTGAAGCTCGTAAAGTGAGACGTGCTTGTAATTTCTTCAGTTACGTGTGTGTTTGCCCGGAGGCGTCTGTAACAGAGCGAATGTTTAACCTTTAATGTTTAGTCAAACACAGGAGCACTTTCACTGCAAGACTCATCCCTCAAAGTCACTCCTGCCTGTGGCCATCACACTCTTTGGCTCCTCCCTCAGAGTCAGACCCTCTTTAGTCATTAACTGAACCTTGAAAGTGTAATATAATAATAATAATAAAATAATAATAATCTTTAATTGTAGAGCACTTTTCAAAAACAAGTTACAAAGTGCTTTAACAAGTGTAAAGACAATAATACCCAAAAAAAACAATACATGATAAAAGCAAGAAAACACTAAAAAGATACTAAATAAAATACACGTGCAATACTCGCCCAATACTGCAAATTTATAAGGATTTAAATCCATTTCAGCTCTCATCATCATCAGTACTCATTATTATTACTTCTAACTTACTACTTATTAATTTCGCTTCTGTCATATACGCTGTAAAAAAAATGTACACACTCTGTTAATATTTATATTTTCTTCTTGCCAACACTTTTATTATTATTTCTTCCTCTTTAATGCCTTGGTTAGCAACTGTAATAAACCAATTTATTGATTTGTTTGGTTGTTAATGCAGCCATTCCCCTAATCCAGGACAATAAAGGAACTTTCACTTTTTATTTTATTTGACCTTTATTTAACCAGGTGTGTCCCACTGAGGTCGGACTCCTGTCTTGTGAGCAGCTGTGAACAGTAACTAAGTACATTTACTCGAGTACTGCACTTAAGTACAAAGTCGGATTTTTACACACAAAACATATGAAGAGATTAAAATATATGATGTTTTGTTATAAATTAAACTCCCCAACAGTTTGTACAAGTACAGCTGAAACGATTAGTTGATTGACAGAAATTAAAAATAATTTTAAATTTTTAAAACAGCTACTTTTGTACTTCGAAGAATTTTAAATTGAAGACTTGTCTTTTTAAGACGTTTCCGCCATTAACTGACTGAACTGACCCTCCAAACTGACAATAACCTGGAGGTACAACCCCCCCCCCCCCCCCCCCCCCCCCCCCGCCGCCGCCGCCGCCAACACACAGATTCATAACAATTGTTTTTATCACAATGAGCCTCGTCCTGGTTGACTGGTGTGGGAAACAAGGAAGCCCTCTAAACCCACGAGACTCTGCACCTCCTGTTATCATTGATTAATGAGAGAGAAGCCCGATCAATGTCTCTCTTATCGCACTCAGCAGCAGATTTACTCTTTCTGTCCTCATGTTTTATGGAGATAATAATGATCTCTGCTCACAGCAGCTCGCAACCTCACAATCGATCACTCAAATGTTTTCAGTGAAAGAAAATAACAAAATGCAAGAAAACAGAAAATCATTTGCAAAAGAATTGAATTTTATTTTGAAAATTTCTCTTTTGAGATTACAAGCTCTCATTTTAACTCGGCTTTAACTTTTCCACAGGAAAAACGTTTCACATTCAATCACTTCAACAAGTAATTAGAGCGAACACGCAGTGTCGACGATTAATTTCACAGCACAATAATGCCTCTTTTGGAACAGCTGAGGTCCCAACAGAGCCTTTACAAAAGGCATTCAGTCAGTACAGAACCACATCATTAAACCACACTAACAGAGTGTTAGCTTAGCAAACATCAAGACAACGTCTCTACAAACAATCCTCTGAGCAAACGGAGGATTCGTGAAGTCAAAGTGCTTCAAACTGAACCGCTGCCAACAACAGGAAAACACTTTCTTCAATATGAAGAAACCTAAAAGTCATTTCCACTCTTTCTTTGAGACAGTATAAAAATGATAAGACAATAAACAGGGAAAGATCCGTTGAATAAATGAGGCGGAGGTCAGTCTCCTACAGGCTCCCTGATGGTGAACATCCATCGGTGTGGTCCAGAGTGAGCGCAGCTTCTACCACGGCCTCCACACGGCTCTGTCAGAGCTGGGCAGCTGCTTCCCCGCAGCCCGGATGTGGCTGTGGGAGGAGAGGGCCGGCGTGGGCCCGGCGTCCTGCCCGGCTCTGTGGAGGTACCGGAGGTGCGGCAGCGTCACTTCCTTCAGGGAGCTGGCGGACAGGAAGTGCAGCGTCTCCTTCCAGCAGTGGGAGTAGCCGTCGCCGTGAGCCGAGCGAGCGGCCGGGCTCTGAGGCTGCAGCTGCTGCTTCAGGAACACCACCGTCATCTCCAGGACGTCGGCCTTCTCCAGCTTGGCGTTGGGATCCTGTTTGTGGAACTCCTTCTCCAGCAGGACCTTGAGCTGCTCGATGCAGCTGTTGATGCGATCTCTGCGCATCTTCTCCACAGCTGGTTTCCTCATCTGGGGAACACAACAAGAAGCTCGGTCAGGATCACATTCAGAACATTCGGGCCACACAGAGAGAGAGAGAGAGAGAGAGAAGGAGCTCAGCGGCTCAGCAGACCGAATGAGAAGCAGGACTTACTTTGTGTCTGTCTTTGGTGGAGAGCATGGAGACGGGAGAGTCTCTGTTGGTGTTGGTTGGAGCCATTCTGGTGGAGAGCAGAGCTTCTGTGGGAGAGCAGAGCGAGCTGTGATGTGGCTGAGGAGCCCTCTCCTCTATTTATAGGCCCACATTAGCATTACAAAGCCATGAGTCCCAGGCAGGATTAGCTTTCCCACACTCTGAGGCCAGTGGGCGAGCTCACACAACAATAGGAGAAGGCATCAATTATCTCATGGTTAAGTGGCCTCACGGCGGCTCGGCGGAGGGAGTGCTGCTGCAGAGCCGACACACTTTTATTACCTGGGAACCTTCCTGCTGTCTGCTGTGATCAGGCTGCTGCAGATGTGCAGCGGCTCAGACAGCAGCCTGATAAGGGCCCCTAAAGTCATAAAGATAAGACACATGCTGGACTCACAACACACTGACGCCAGGTCAGGTTACACGCTCTGTGGCCTCGAAGGCTACTGATGGATTAACAGGGAATAAAACAAGCGTTTTAATATAAACCTTTAAGTTTTATTACTTAAACTGTCTAAAGTACGAGATAAGACACGTGCTTACTGGAAACACTGGATTTAAATATGAATCATTGTTTTAAATTAAACTTCCCAACAGAACACAAAGTTAACATTAAATGTTAAATAATGTGAATGAGCATCAACAAACCAATAAAATAATGCACATACAAACACCAACAGGAGCTGTTATGTTGCATGCATATTTTTATATATATCATTTATTTCTGTAGTTTAAGATTTGAAAGGTGATGCATTATTATTAAATTAAATTATATCCTTTTTAAAGTAAGGTGTTGCCAGTAAAATAAATAATAGGTGTTTAATTTCTGCTGCTTCACTTTAACTCAGAGAGAAATGGAGGGAAAAAGAAACTGTCAATTAAACACAATTATCCAGAGTCCTCTGGGAAGGCACACTTCTATTGTGTGACGCCTCCTCCTCCTCCTCTAAGAACCCCACCCCCTCCACCCCCACCTCCTCCTCCCACTCCTCCCCCTCCTCTTCTTCTTTTGCTCACCTCTTTAGGAGAATATGTAATAAATGGGAAAGAGAGTGTGGGAAAGGAGGTTGGGATCCTCACACACATCCTCCAGTCAATAGAGCGCTCCCCCCCCCCCCCGAGCCTCCCCCCTGCCTCCCCCCCTCCACAGAGACCCTTTCAACCTGCAGGATCAGATCAGAGGCTCCGCTGAGCCGGGGGACGCGTGTGGGACGTCTCCCTGTTTTCCCGCCCTCGTTCACATCAACCAAACCTCATGAGAGTTTCAGTGTGTTTATACTCATCTACTGATTACTGCACTCCCCCCCCCCCTCCTCCTCCTCCTCCCCCTCCTGCACATGTGGTTCAACACCTGCTGCCAGCGCTGTAGGAAGAAGTACTCTCACCATTTGCATAAGTAAAAGTACCCACAACTAGAATGTAATCGCTTCAGTTAAAGGTCACATGTATTATCAGCTTCATGTACTTAAAGCATCACAGGTAAACGTACACAAGTATATTGTTTAACAGGTGTTTTTAACAGGGCTTTTCAGTCCCTTTGAGATTTAGTAAGTACATGTAAAGTAGCAGTAAATTGAAATACTAACGAAAAGTACCTGAAAATTGTATGGAACCATCTACAACATATGGAAGAAAGCAGGTGTACAAGAACAATATATACTTTAAGTACATAAAGCTGAGAATAATGTACTTTTACATGGGATTTTGAAAAATGAAGGACTTTTACTTGTGATACTTGTGTATTTGTACTTTGTTATACTGATACTTTTACTGAAGTTAAGGACGCTGCTTTGTTCCAGCTTAATAAAGACAAACTAACTTATTTCATTATTCTGAACATTATTTCCTGATTTAGTGACTAGAGTGACTTCTAACAGCAGAGAGGAGAATCTGAGACGTTGCCCCGAGCGAGGGAGGAAATGACTAAGTAATTTGGACGTCTTTAATGTGTGTTAATGACCATGAAAGAGGCAGATGGCGTGGAGTCCTCTTGGAGGGAAACCTCCACATCCTTTTCTTCTCTGTCTCTCAGGATGCATTTCTTCGCAGTGAGTCATGACACCATGACGCAGATGAAAACACACCGTTCGGCCTGTAAACACATTCCGGCGTGGACGTGCCCCCCATTCAGAGAGAAAGGCCTCAGAGTGGCCTCACCAGCACACGCCCCCACGTGCACACGCCAAACAACACGTCTCCATGGCTTTGAGCCCAGATGCGTCGCTGTGTGTGTGCGAGGACCTCTCTGCTCTGAGGAATGTGTGAGAGCTGCGACCGGCTCCTCGTTCCCACACTTCAGCCTCCATTCAGGTCAGCGGCCCACCCCGAGGCGGCCGCCACTGATCCTCCAGACCCTCATTATGCTCCGGCCTCAATGGGCCATCTGGACAGCTGCCGGTGGAGCCGACGCTCACGCAGACCACCGGCACACCTCCGAGTGTGCAGGTACATGACAATGACTGCACAGGTGTTTGTTTCATTGAAGAAACCAAGATGGAAAATATTCTTTGACGACGAAAAACTGTGACAAAAAAGTTTTTCATCTGCAAAATACACGACAGAATGAACTAATTACTGTTTGAATATTTTCATGCAGAATCTCAGGTCAAACAGTGAGTTCCCTTCAGAAGCCAATAAAATCTCTTGCTCAGGACCTGATTCATCAGTTTGCCCTGCCGTTTAGAAGAGACATCCTGTGTTCACACTGCAGGCCTTAACACTTAATTCTGATTTATTGCCCAGATCTGATTCTTTTAATTGACAGTTTATATGATAGTTTAAATGTGGCCCACATCACGTTCCAGTGTGAACTGGCTACGGCCTCAAAGTGACCCAAGAATAATACGACATTGCCCGCCATCGTACAGAAGTAAACATGGAGGCCACAGAGGTTAGCTCATACCTGCTAACTCTTCTGATTTTTTACTGGAGACCCCCGTTTGTCATTGCCGTCTCCCAGATTCCTGTATCTCTCCCGATTTATTTAATTTTAAATTTTTACATTTTCACAACTTTGTGTCCTTTTCATCACATTCGTTATTGTTTCTGGTGCTGGACCACAAATGAAAGTGGCCCACGTCCGAACTGGAAAATATCAGAGACTTGGGCTGTCCACACTTGATCTGTGTCACACATGAGCAGAGAAATTATAAAAAGACAGGTGTCACTTTGGCCTGCAGTCTGAACTCAGCCTCATACTCAGTCACGTTCTGTCTGATTTGACCACAGCGTCATGAAACAGCTTGGTTTTCCAACAATGACCTGTAACGGTCTGCAAGTCACTGTCACGGTTTTGGTGTTTCCTGTGCTTCCTGTTTTATTTTGAAGTTGGTCTGTCTCTGGTGTCCTTGTCTTGCTTTGTTTCCTGTCTGTCCTGATTGCCTGATGTGTCTCACCTGTGGAATCACCCTGCCTGCTTGTGTATAGTCTCTGTTCCCTCCTGGTTTTGTGAGATGGTTTTCTTACGATGTCAGGTGTCTCTGATTGATCCTGTCTTGTTTTTGGATTTATTCTCGGAGCTCTTTGGATTTCTGTTTGTACCTGTTTTGGGCTGTGGTTATTCCCTGGACTGCTTGTAAGTTCACATCAAACACTAAGAAACTGACATTCACAGACAGATGATATCATCTTCAGACCAGAAAACACTTGAAAGAAATGTCGTGCGTCGTTGTAGAAAGCGTAACAAAGTTTTATTGTATGACTGTAAAAGCTGGTTGAACATAGGCTCCCCTGCTTCCTAAACTATCAAGATCTAAATAGTGGTTGAATCAGTTTAAGGTCACGTGGTTCAGAAGAACTCTCTTTTACCTTGAAATTAACAAATTTACATGAAGTTAATTATAAAAGATTTAATGATTTCGCTGCATTTCTGTTTGTGAAACATGCCTCTAACTAAAGCACAAGAGGAATCAGAGGAGGGCAGATTTTAACCCCCTCAGCGTGGACAGAAAGTTTTCCCGCCTTGAGAGTCTTTTCTCAGACGGTTGAGGATCAGGGTTCACATGTTTCCCAGCTGCTCCGCGATGCTGCTGCAGTCAAAGGGACACTGACTCGGAGCCCCCCAGGTCCCACCCCTGTCTTTGTGGCTCAGGTCTCAGTCAGTCAAAGCCTGGTTCATCACCACGGCCTCAGGAATGCTTTGTGCCCGACCCCAGCCCGGAGACAGGTGTACAAATCACAGAGCAGATTGGGGTATGGACGGCAGGGACACGTCTTCACCAGCATCTTGGTGCTGCTGAATCGTCCGTACCAACATGTCAGATCTCACTTGTCAATTGAACTCTGCTCGTCTCTGACTTAGTAGCATTATTAATATTTTACTGATAGCATCCCTCTCACTCTACTTTATATTTGATCGTTTTGTCTCGTGGAGGCGTTGCTCCAAAATCTTCCACTGGTGTTGGACTGGGTTGAGATCTGGGGACCGTAAAGGCTGCAGCATTTTATCAAAATCATTGCACCAAGCATCTGCATGTGATGTTCCTCTTTCATTCGGGTATTTTTAGTTTGTGGTGATATATGGATTTAACTGTTACTAAGGTGATATATATATATATATAGTATTTCCCACTGCGTCTACTTGGATATGCCGACTCTTTGCAGACTGATGTGATGTTATTTAATGTAAACGTGGGGCACGCGTCCTTTGTTCAGGGTCTCTGTGGGAAAGTTGGACCAACATGGCGGACAGGCTTAAAGGCAGGAAAGCTCTGTTCTAATGTTGGCTAAAGAGAAGCAACATGGAGGACAGTTCTGCTGCTGTGAGACACTTTAAACACATCTGTATAATGTAGAACAATGTTTGGAACAGTTATGAGTGTGTTTAAACACATTTATCTGATGTTTGAAGTGAGGAGAGTTTGTTAAAGTGAGTTGAACGAGAACTTATTCAGTGCCTGCGGCTTTCACCGTGGAAAAACAGAGCCGCTGCAGCCCAACAGGAGAATAAAACTTCCAGTCTTTCTTGTGCTTACCGCTCGCTCCACCTGTCCCCAGGGACACCGTCTTTGTCCAGACAGCAACACTCAGTTTAGCGTGAAGTCATTCAGACCTTCTTTGTCATTATAGGAGCTCTTCATTGGCCTCAGAGTGTGGGAACCTGCAGTCAAACAGTTCACAGAGGGCTGCCCTCAGTTTGGACTACAGGCAGCCCTCCATAGACTGGCTTGCTACACTTCATAAAATAATAACAGCAGTGTTTAGAGTCTCTCACAGCTGTTGAACTGTACCAGTAGAGTCAGGTACTTTCCCTCACCCTTTTCATGAAGAGTGAATAACACAATAAAACCATAAAAGCTCAACAGAAGCTCAGCAGAGTGAAGGTCAAAGTCTGGGACACTAAATTATAACCGTCTGCATTTTTATCTTTGAAACAGTTTGTAGAAAGTAAGACAATAGTTGTATTTGGTCCCAGAAAATGTTGTAATACCTGGATGAGCCTCCACAGGTGTCTCTCATTAACAGACTCATACTGTATAGTGTTGGTTTATATGTTTTAATATATTCTCAGGTCAGGGACTTTTTAACAGACGTAACTGAGAGAATAAAGAGTCAACGAGGCCTTTTTACAGTTTGTCTCTCTTATAAGACTCACAGGCTTTAGACACGGTGACGCCTCCAGCAGGTGTAAGGACTTAGTTACACGCAAATAAAGTAAGCAGACAGCCAACAAATACACTAATAATAAAGAAGAAATGATAAAAAAATGAACAACATAATTGTAAAAATAGGATTTTATGTTCTTAGTGTTGAATTTCTTTTTTAATTTAACAGTTTTTGTTTTGTATTGTTAATCCGTTTCTAACTTCATCCAACTTGTGTATAATGACACTCATCACATTGATCTCCTGTCAGACATAACAAAGGGCCAGATTCCCTGAAGTTCTGCGTGAGTAAAAACATGTGCAAACTTGATATCACCAGCAAATTGACATGTAAGCTGATCTACTAAGGTGTGGACGCAGAATGACGTCTTTCAGAAGTGCACCTGTTGTTCATTTAGTACTTTTGCCTTAATGAATATGCAGTTTGGGGCGTTTCACTTTTTTGTGCAAAGTAATGGGAGGGTAACATGCAAATACATTTGTTTACTACACGCAATATGCTCTTACAAGCAATTTCATGTGAGTGCAACAGTTTGAAAGGAAGGTGCAAACCGCCAAGTGCTGCAGAGATGGCTCCTGTTATCGCTGTGAGAAGGAGAGAAGATGTAGAGAAATTAAAAATATTAGATAATATTATTCTATATCAATACATAGAAATACAATTATTTTATTTAACTGCATGAACTGAATCTTTCTTTTGTATTTTCCTTGAAACTTTGGCAAAACTGTTGTATTAACATTCATGCCAATAAAGCAAATTTGAATTGAATTGAGAAAGGGTTTTTTCCATTCTGTCAATATTTCTGGCATGACTGAGGAATGTATAACGCGCACATTTCGCCTCTCCAGCCATGCAGTGTTGGAGCTGTTGGCTGACCTAAGGGCTGATTTGGAGCCAGTTAGGAGTCACGCTCGCTCGCGTCTGTGTCATTCCAGCATACTGTAGTTGTTTCTGCTGGAGTTTCCCAAAGCAGTTTCTCAGGTGTGCAGGACCAAGTACTTAGTTTCGTCTCAGGCAGGACGGGCAGGTACAGACGATTTCCACACGCACTGAATGAAACAAACCAAGGTTTTTACGCAGTGGCTGCTTTCCCTCCCGACTCTCCAAGGCGGAAACCATTAAAACATACAACCCCTGATTTAAATACTCCACCTCCATCCTGTTTACACCTGTTGTCACTTATGCAAATCGTCTTAGTTAATCACCCATAACAGGTCCTACAATTACACGTGCAATATATTAGAATGCACACAAAATGTATTACTCTTTATTCAGGGTGTTAGTAAATCCAGCCCAAAATGTTTAGTGTTGGTATATAGTCATTTGTAAATATGTATATTGTATATGTAATATTTTGGAAGGTTATCATTTATATTTATATAATTTCACTGAACTTGGTTTCAAACCAAATGTATTTCTCTGACATGAAATATCAAAAAATACAAAACATCCTCAGACATAATTTGGCGAGTGTTTAACTCCTCTGATCTGCTTCATCAGGACCGTGAAAGGAGGACTCTAATGTTTTTGTTCATGTAGGATCCCATCGCTTATAATCAGAAGAACAGAAAACAACTTCAATATCGCACAGTGGTTAAATCTTTAAACAGAGCAGAAGGCCCTACAAAAACAAAACAAGTCAATGTAACATACTCCAACTTCTTATATCTCTTAAGTTGCTGATGAGCTGGTGCCACAGCAAACACAAGCAAAATTATTATTGTCACACAATTTCTTTCCCTCTTATTCATCTCAGTTTTCTTTTTTTGTAATTTAATTTCAATTCAATTCCGCTTTATTGGCATGAATGTAAAACAATATTGCCAAAGCAAAAAAATAAATTACAAAGGACCAATTAATTTCAATAAAACAGTGTGTGTTTGCGTGTGTTTAAAAATAAAACAATAATAAAAAATACATTTATTAAAAATAAAGTCAAGACAGTAAAAGCGTGCGTTTGTGTAGAAAAAAAATATAAAAATAGATATTAAACCTAAAAAAATTAATTAAACCTTAAGCATGTGTGTGTTGTGAATTCACTCATGGAAATGGAGTCTTTTTTTATTTCCACTTCCCCCTCTTTTAGTCCCTATTGATTTTATTTTATAGTGATGTAATTCTAAAACAACCTGCTGTTAGCTGAGAAAATATCATGAAATGTGAGTCCAGATATAAACAGGAAAAACTATCCTCCAAACTTCAGAGGGTTTCTTTGTGGAGTGTTTTTGGCGGGAGTTTGGTGTCGGCAGAGTAAACATGCTGTCAGAGAGTGAAAGGTCCAGCTGCTGCTTGGAGGACAAAGACAGCTTTCTCACACTCTCACCATTCAGAGCAGGCAACTGGGAAGTGTGGGTCCCACTTTCCCTCCAGCTCTCCCAGCAGCTCTTCCAGTTTATTGCCTATAAGTGCAGCCGCATGGTAATAAGCAGCTTAACGGGCTTCATTAGGACGCTGCTGCTGGATATCCGACCGTTGAATCAGTGTTGATCTGTTCGCTGAGCATCTCCCTGTAACACTCGGTGGTGAGAACGGTATTTGAAGCATGCCGCATGCAGCACACTTATTATTGTTGTGCCTCCATTCATGGTGCACAACAATGCATTCCTCCGCCTTCATCTGCACATTCTGCAGAGGGAAGCCTCGGCCTCGTTTCAGTAACAATGAGGCGACATCAAAGACTCCGTGACACTTTGTACACATGCAAATGAGCTTCTCCAATAACTGTCTTTAGTATGTGCTCATATTATAACAGCCCTTCCCCGAGGATTACATTTAATAAAACCTTTAAATAAGTACAAGCAAGCAAAATACACTCAAGTAGGCCTATCAGATATTCCCCGCTGAAAGTTTTCACATTCTTTACTTAAATATCAATACAAACGACATCCAATTAATGTTATAAATAAAAAATATAACAAAGCATTGCAATGAACTTGTGTAAAGGTGCAGATGTATAAGCAGCAAAAAATTAGTAGGGGAGACCGGGTATGATTGTAAATAGGGAGAGTTGTAACAACGCCAATTCCACCAATTAGAGATAAGATAGGACTTATTTCAGTATTTACCTGCTTCCTCCCTGATCAGGCACGGTGGTTATCAAGTCTGGAAAGAGGTGAGATTCCCGAATATTATTATTCATAACTTTATTAACCAAGAGTGGACACGCCATACACACTGTGTATTTTACCCCACTGACAAGGGAGCACGTTACTTCTCTCGGTGATCTTGGTCATCATCTGGCTAAAGTTATCAAACATTCGTTTTCATTTGCAAGGTGGACTAACATAATTACCTGTCCAACAGAAAACATCAGCTCCTTCCATCTGAGAAAATCCACAACAATTATATCCTTTATGTTTGCCATCATCTGTCTTACTCTGGCTTCTTCATGTTTTCGCATCTTCGTCGGCTCGTGCTAAATAATAACTTCACTTCTCTTCTTACTTCTAATGAACCAGATGACTACTCAGCGACTGATTATTATTATTTCATCTTCTTCTTCTTTGTTCGCATTCAATGACGAGTGTCTAAACTGCCGGAATTATACAAGAAGAATCGGAAGAAGAACGTAGTGACGAAACACGCTCTGTAGCACTAAAAACATGGCAACGCAACATGGTGACGTCCGTGTAAGGGGGACCCGCGGTTATGTAGATAGAAATGGCTCACTCTAAGGTAAGAAAAACAGCTCATTATATAAGGTCTTTATACACCACTGAAAACAGAGTTATGGATCTTCTATTGCATTTCTGTCAAATCATCAGAAATATTACACACTGAACCTTTTAAGAAATCAACCTCATGAATATAATCATCCTCTTTATCTCTAACTGCTCTGTTCCACTGTCACACAGACCTTCACTGCTGACAGCTTCAGCTAATCGCCAATGTAAATGTATGGAAACATCCTCTCAGTGAAAGTGTGTGTGAAGGTGTGTATGTGTGTGTTAGTATCAGGATCAGAGAACGACAGCTTTCCTCTGTTCCAGTCCAGATTCACTCTGATCCTCTGGAGCTTCTTCTGAACTCTGAGATCAATGGGTGGAGCTGGTGGTGACATTGCTGAGTATTCACCATCATAGAACTCAATTGTCCATAATCCAGACTCTATGTAGTCCTTCCTCTGAACAGACTCAGCTAACACACCCAATGACCAGTCTGTACTGTCTCCAACCTCGACATCCCAGCTGTGAGTCCCTGAGTTAAAGCCCTCCTTGACCAGGACAGAGCAGAGTTCATCAAACCTCTCTGGATTGTCAGGAAGCTGCTGTCTCTCTCCTACTCGTCTCACACTGGTCAGATCTTCAGACAGGATGAGATATGGACCAGCAGTGTTTGGGTCCAGAATGAGAGGAGTGTAGGAGACCATGTCCTTCATCTTGTTCCAGATGTTGAAGGTCAGGTTGCCCAGGTGTTTGGCCTGGTCTATCAGAGCTCCTGAGGGCAGCTGTGGATCATCCAGCAGGGGGCGCTGCTGGACTCTTTCCACTGCAGCCTTGTAGTTGAGCAGGAATGAGACGTCTTCAGCTCTCAGCTCCTCCTCTGTGGCTCTGACTGTGTCTGAAAGAGCTGCTATCTCTCTGCTCAGAGCCTCCATCTTCTCCTTCATCATCTGACTCTTCTGCTCCTCTTCCTCCCTCAGTGCAGCCATCCTGGCCTCCTCTTCCTCCTCTAGAAACTGGTGAAGCTTCTTAAACTGTTCCTTAATCTGCCTCTCTGTGTGTCGGGCCTGGACCTTCATGTGTTCTGCTGTTTGATCAAACTTCACTTTAACTTGTTCACAAACCTTTAACTTCTCCTTTAAGGGCTCCAGAGTTTCCTGAAGTTCCTTCTTGTGTTGTCGTGCAGCTTCATCGACGGGTCTGAATCTGTGGTTGCTGTGTTTTTCTGAATCTCTGCAGACGACACACACTGGCTGCTGATGGTCCAGACAGAAGAGTTTGAGTTTCTCAGAGTGCAGACTGCAGAGAGCCTCTGAAGCTCTCTGATCTCTCTCCTGTAAGAAGGCCTCACACAGCTTCTTTAACGCCAGGTTATAAGGTGGTTCTTCCTTTGAAGATCTTCTCTTACAAACTGGACACTCAGGTGCTTGTTTTTCTCTCCACCAGCTCTTCAGACAGACTTTACAGAAGCTGTGGCTACATGACAGAAGAACAGGATCTCTGAAGACCTCATGACAGACCGGACAGCAGAGATCCTCCTCTGATCTGGAAGCCATTTTGTCTCTGAAGCTAAAATCACAGCAGACAGAAAGTACAGTCAGTCATGGCTCCCCTCCCTCCTCTACTTTAATGTTATGTTTTTAGTCAAACTCACCTTCAGTGTGTGGAGCGTCAGCAGGTTGAAGCAGCAGTGTTGTGTTTTCCTCTTTTCTCTCCTGTAGCTGAACTCAGTCAGAGGAAGTTGGTAGTTTGGTCTGAAGGTGAATCTGATCGTCTGATTTTCATTCTGTGTCTCTGTAGTGAAGAACTAAAACTTTTTCCTGGTTTGTCTCAGGTGAGTTCAGTGAAGGGTGGGGCTTTGTCAGACCTGCTCTGCTGAACACTGTTGCTTCACCTGCAAAACCTGGGTGAGCTACATTCCAGTATTGCTTCATTGCTGGATATGCATACTGATAGTGTGCAGCAGACTGTTCAACAGCTATGTTTATGTTCCGAAGTAGTTTGAACGTAGGTTGAATGTAGTGGAGGATTTCAAAAATGGGCAAGGCAATAACATACAATAACATAATAACAGAGGTAAGGGATTAAAGAAAGAAGGTACCGATACAGTTCAGGGTATAAACAATGCAGTGCAGCCGACAGAAAAAATAACTTTGAGAGAGTACAGCCACTCTGTATATTGATCTTTAAGGGAAGTGGCATAGCATAATTTAAGTTAAGTTTTGAACAGGCCTAAAAACACAGCTCGGTGCCAGCTTACAGGCTGCCAGCTAGCACCAGGCCGCCTGATCCCCGGCCTACTAGCTGCCTGCTGGAGTCTCAGCCTGCTAGCACCCAGCGAGTTAGCCACAAGCGAACTAACCCCAAGGCTGGCTTGTGGCTAACTCGCTGGCACTGATCTCCGGTCTGCAAGCCCCCAGCCAGCCAGCGGTCCCCGGCCTGCTATCTGCCTGTGGGGAAGCTTTCTCCTGCCTGCTAGCGCTCCAGCTGCTAGCCACCTGCCTGTCCTGCCTGCCTGCCTGCCTGTTAGTGCCCTGGCGGCTAGCTAGCCCTGTTAAGGGATTAAAGAAAGAAGGTTCCGATACAGTTCAGGGTAGCTTACAGGCTGCCAGCTAGCCCGGGTAGCCACCCGCCTGTCCTGCCCTATCCCCAGCATGCTAGCATTGCTAGTCGCCTGCCTGGTCCCCGTCCTATTCCTGTTGCTGGTCCCTCATCAATGGTCGAACTGACACCAGCGCCAAGGCCTCGGTCGGTGGCCAAACAGACTGCAGCTCCACGTGTCCAGTTGGTGGTCAGACCAACTACAGCTCCACGTGTCCTGTTCCCGGTCCCCAGCCCAGCTGTCCAGTCCTTGGCCTTTGGTGCCAACCTTCAAAGAGGTCTCACCTTCGTCGGTCTCCTGTCTGGCCTCAGGTGAGCCCCTGCTCTCACCGTCGACCTCTGGCTAGACCTCCTGAACAGTGCTGCCCCCCTGATCTGCCCGGCCTGTTGGGTTGTCCTCTGTGACGACCTCCTGAACTTTTTTGTCCCCCTGACCCGCCTCGTCTGCTCGGTTGACCTCCGGGTCGGCCTTCCGAACCGTATGCCCCCCTTCCCTGCATGTTAGGCCTAGCGCCTTACCTGCCCTGTTCCCTGGCCCTGCTCTGCCTGTTCGGTCGCCCCCCTGAACTTTATGATCCCCCTGCTCTGCTCTCAGGCCGCCCGCCTGAGAATTAAGTTTACTTAGTATTTGTCTTGTCTCCTATCTTAGTTCTGTGTCTTTGTTCGTGGTCCCTTGTTCATGTCTTAGTATTTTCTCCTAGTTCTGTGTTTACATTATTACAGTTTAGTCTGCTCTTTATTCTGTGCCTATAGTTCTGTTCCTGTTTGGATCTGTGCCTGCCTAAGTTCTTGTCTTTCTGTTATTATCTGGTGTTTGTTCCATGCTTAGTTTCTGTCTGCCTGTCTAGTGTTTATGGTGATCCTTGAGTTATCCCTCTGCCTACCGGTCTCTCTGTTTTCCCCTGCTGTCTCTCTGGCTGCCTGTCTCGTTAGTATCATCCCTGTCACCTGTGTTGATCCCGCCCTGCTCGTTAGTCCGTGTGTGTGTGTGTGTGAGTGTGTATATGCTTGCTTGTGTCTTCAGTCCTTGTCCAGTCACTGTAGCTTGTAATGCTCTGTATTATGTCATGTGGATAGTCAGCCTGTTCGTTCTCCCTGCTTGTTTCTGTTGGATTACCTTGTTAGGGCCCGAGCACGACCGTGCGAGGTCCCTATTGAATTTGCTCGGATTATTTTTTATTTTTTTAATTTTTTTTTTTTTTTCTGCAAAGTAGGCCCAAATGACATGGCCTAAACATACTCGAAAACTCACCAAAATTTGCAAACATGTCAGAACCGGTGAAAAATTTCGTATTCTACAAGTTTCGCACATGGGCGTTGCAAAATGACTCGCTAGCGCCACCTAGAAAATTGGAAAAAATTAGCCCCTCGTTCACGTTCAACCTACATCTACGAAATTTTCTGGGGACATGTATCATGTCAAGACGCACAAAAAAGCCTCAAGAACCCATAGCCTAAAGTCAACAGGAAGTCGGCCATTTTGAATTTTATGGCCATTTTTGGATGATTTACACACTTCGTACTTTAACGAACTCCTCCTAGGGATTTAGTCGGATCGACGTCAAATTTCTGCTGTGCCTTCTAAAGGCATTGAAGATGAAAAGTTGTGCTATTTGCAAGTTTTCGTCAATGGGCGTGTCCGTGGCGTGGCGTCAAAGATCAAGTCTTCGCCATGACACGGAAGTTGTCGTAGCTTCAGTGTACATGCTCACATCTGGACCAAACTGTACATCTAGGATGAGAGTCCCGCCCTGAACACATGTACATGCTGATATTCACCCACAGTCATAGCGCCACCTGCTGGCAAAAGGAAGTGACTTTTAACGAAGCAGCCCCCGCCGCACGTTTCACCTACGTGCACGAATTTTCTGTGGTACGTGTATCTTGTCCAGACGCACAAAAAAGTCTCTTGGAGCCATAGCCTAAACCCAACAGGAAGTCGGCCATTTTGAATTTTACGTCAAATTTTGGATGATTTACACACTTCGTACTTTAACGAACTCCTCCTAGGGATTTAGTCCGACCAACCTCAAATTTGTGCTGTGCCTTCTAAAGGCATTGAAGATGAAAAGTTGTGCTATTTGCAAGTTTTCGTCAATGGGCGTGTCCGTGGCGTGGCGTCAGAGATCAACTCTTCGCCATGACACGGAAGTTGTCGTAACTTCAGTGTACATGCTCACATCTGGACCAAACTGTACATGTAGGATGAGAGTCCCGCCCTGAACACATGTACATGCTGACATTCACCCACAGTCATAGCGCCACCTGCTGGCAACAGGAAGTGACTTTTAACGAAGCAGCCCCCGCCGCACGTTTCACCTACGTGCACGAATTTTCTGTGGTACGTGTATCTTGTCCAGACGCACAAAAAAGCGTCTTGGAGCGATGCCCTAAAATCAACAGGAAGTCGGCCATTTTGAATTTTACGTCAAATTTTGGATGATTTACACACTTCGTACTTTAACGAACTCCTCCTAGGGATTTAGTCCGACCGACTTCAAATTTGTGCTGTGCCTTCTAAAGGCATTGAAGATGAAAAGTTGTGCTATTTGCGAGTTTTGCGAGTCAATGGGTGTGTCCGTGGCGTGGCGTCAGAGATCAAGTCTTCGCCATGACACAGGAAGTTGTTGTAACTTACGTGTACATGCTCACATCTGAACCAAACTTTACGTGCTTGATAACTCAAGGGTCATCTTCTCTGCTATTGGTGGACCAGTCAGACAGGAGAGCTCTTACTCTGCCTGCAGACATCAACGATCTTGCCCCTCACACAGTCAGATGGCTTCCTTCAGTGCACTGAGGTGTTTAACAACTCTGAAGACAATACTACCAGCAATGTCTTCCTTCTCTTTTCATGTAGACGCTCCGACAGACAGTGCTTTCAGTTTGCTGCATGCATGGACACAGAACTGCGGTATAGAGAGAAGCACACGGTCAGCAGGCTGCAGCTAAATCTGGAGTGCACTCGTATTCAATTCTGTATGGTAAATTCAGTTTTAACGGAGCAGAGCGAGCTGACAGGCAGAGTTAGAGACTTTTTCTGTCCGTTTCTCTCTTTACAAAGACGCATGTCAGAGTCTTCTCTGAAGAGGGCAATGAAGTCTCAGTAGTACCCGATGCGAGCACCACATACAACACAATTTATCAAATTACACAACGGATATACAGTATGAAAATAAGACTGATTGGATTATACTCACAGGAAGTATAAAACCTGTTACATGCGTAACACTGTAATGTCAGGGAAATTACTTTACTTAGATTTAAGTACTGCAGTTGTACATTTGAAATACCTTCCTAACTTTCTGATAGGAAGCCTTCTTGAGGTGGTATAAAACATTTCTTCTTATATTCTGACTTGAGTTGTGGACAACTATGACCACATGAATTAAAAAAATTAAACATTTCACTGCCCAAGTCAGCTATAACACAAGTCTTGTTCATCAGACTACATGCTGTGGACAGATTTTGTCCCAGGATTTATTATGCATTTCTTCTTCTTCGTTGCATGATTTAGAATAATAAGGTGAGAAATGGGTCTGTTCTGAGTTCATCCTGCACTGCAGCAGCTAATAAAGTCCATTTAATCCCAAAAACGCTTTTCTTTTAGGCAGGCTGGAGCAGAAAACAACTCACCTTTCCTCAAGTTGTACAGTAATGTCACATGTGTATGAAGGTGGATCAAACAAGCTAATCTTAAATGTCAAAGTAGAGAGGAGCCTAGTAGGCCTATTTATTTTCATTCATTATACAATATGAATAAGCTATGCAGACAGTTGTAAAGAAAGAACATCTTTTTCTTCTGTTCTCTACTTGTTATAGTTACACAGTATTAGGGGTGTGGGCTGTATTAAAAGTATCCACTGTTCTCCCATGCTCTAACACACAGTAACGATGAAATGTGTGCTGTTCTCACATTCTTCCTCTGTATGTACACATAAACAACAAGGCAGGGAAATATAAAAGGAATTTATTTTATTGTTTGGGTACATTATTGTTCAGTGTACATGTTCACATCTGAAACAAACTTTACGTGCTTGATAACTCTCCCACCCCGCAGACATCTACACGCCAATACCGATTTATATTCATAGCGGCAAGTGCAATGTAGCTCCACATAGGGGACACAGGAAGTGACATATAGCACCTTCATGCGGCGTCGGAACCGCGTAGGAAATTCACAGCCGCACCGGCAGAGCTCCAGAATGTGCAACTCGGCCGGCTCACGCGCGGACGCGCTACAAGTGCGAGGGCCCGCCCAACGCTGCTTGCAGCTTTAATTTTATTTGGACTCATTTATTTTGGAAAGCTTCAGCTCAGCCACTCTGCCTGTAAGTGTGCTCGCTTTTAGTTTGTTTAAATAAACCTTTTGAACTGTACCTGCTCAACTCGGTGTCCTGCATTTGGGTCCACCAACCGTTTCAACCACACCAATCGTGACCGAAGTGCAGTGCACTTGCGTACACAACAATCTGTTTAGGGGACCACCGTTTCCGTTGAAAGAAACATTTTTCTACATTTTTTCGCCTCTGATCTTGCCCCTGGGCTTCCCCGCCCACCAGTATCATTCATTCCCTGCCAGACCATCACAGTTGCAATGAGCTTTGAACTTTTCCAGAACCTGAACCTTACCTAGATTCTGTCCCTATAGATGGACCTGCCTGCCTGTATCCAGCCTTGCTTGCCTGTAAGCCTTTATACTAATCCACATTTGTAATAATTAATTTAACTGCTCCATCACATTTATCTACATGTGTGTTCCCTGTACTGATCACATTGAGACAAGTGGATTGTTGATGCTTTGTATCTGCCTACCTTTACATTACATGTGGAAGATTTCAATTAGATGAGGCAGAGAAGGTAAATGCTGTTCACTGGTCAGTAGGGGAGAGGACAAGAGGCAGCTTGATTTAAAAAAAAAAAAATATATATATATATATATATATATATATATATATAATATAGTTTAAGCTTAAGTAATTTTTCTGCTATCTCAGGACTAATAATTTTAGTGTATATGTAATATATGCTCCCCTTTTCACCTGGAAATGTTTGCATCTTCATAATTGCAGCTGCTGCTGAAGATATTTTGGCAGCAAAATGCTCAAAGACTATCACAGGAAGTGCAGTGAGATGTTTGGTATAGACAGATGCTTCATTATGGATGTTTTGTGTAATGGTATTAAGTAGTACGATTTTACCTAATTGTACTTTTAATAAACCTATATATGTCATTACATTTATTCATTTAGCAGACGCTTTTATCCAAAGTGACTTACAATTGCTATACATGTCAGAGGTCGCACAACTAGGAGTTAAGTGTCTTGCTCAGGACACAATGGTGGGAATCAAACCCAGGTCTCCCACACCAAAGGCAAGCATCTTATCTATGCGCCATCACCACCCATCATTACCTTAAGTACTTGGCTCATAATATATTTCAGAATCAGAAATACTTCATCGATCCCCGATGGGAAATTCTGTGTTACAGTTGCACACAATGCACAAAAGGAAAAAGAAATATAAATAAAGACAGTGGTATATACCGAAGTATCTAAATATCAGAGTGAAAATATAAAAGAAAATACAAAGGAGGGTGGATATGTACAATATTTACATATTTAAAGGAATTGTTATGGTGAACAGTAACAATGAATAAATAGTAGCAGCAGAATTGCAGCAAAGAGTTTTGCACGTTAAGCAGGTGTTATTGCACTAAACAGATAATAATGTCCAGTTTAACACTAACTAAGTGTCCGTGTGTCAGACAGGTATAAAGCTTGATGGCCACAGGCAGGAATGACTTCCTGTGGTGCTCTGTGGTGAATTTTGGGGGATTAAGTCTTGCACTGAAAGTGCTCCTGTGTTTGAGCAGCATATCATGGAGTAGGTGGGAGACATTGTCCATGATGACATGTAGTTTGGACAGCATCTTCCTCTCTGAT